GCTGCTGTTGCTGCTGTTCCGGTCATGGTGCTGCTTTTGGCTGAGATAATGACTGTCGAGTGGCTCTCCGGTGGTGTTGTCATTGTCGCTCCCATGGAAGAAATCCGTCTTTCTGTTTTCGCGAAACACGAAAATGGTGACTAGGTAGCACATTTGCTCTGTAATCTTTATAAACGGTACGTTAAGTATATTTGAATCTTTGCTGACGCATTTGCTGATGTCATAGGTCGATTAGCCAATCACATTACTGCCTTCTACCGCTTTCGCGCTCTGCGTAATTTTTAGGGGGGATTAGGCACCGGAAAGGGGGGAAAGAGAGGAGGAGAAGAGGAGGAGGGTTAGAGTGAGATTCCAGATTCTTGATCGCGTATGTCAGAACGATTACGTCATCCCATTCTTTTTGTTATGAGAATAGGGGAAAGGCAGTCACAAGGTCATAGCATTAAGTAAAGGGGAGAAATTACCCTCTCTTGGCACGGCTGCCGGCCCAAAAAGACACGAAAAGGACACCAGATAGTCGTTACAGTTGGTTTCAACGACCCAAACATACTTAACGGACTACAAATCTGATTCGGACCCTCCCACAAGTTTCCCAATCTCACTCCAGATTGAAATGCTGCTAATTATTTTATAAAATGAAACCGCGACAATGGGCATCATGCGGTGGGCGTCCTTTCTTCCTTGGAAATGTATTCTTGTATGCTCTGTTTCTTTCGCAACAGTATAGCTGTGGCGTCGCTGTCACCATGCCCTGCCGTGGAGCCATCCATTGAGCGAACTGCATCATTTGCATGAAATGTAATTGTTGTTGGTAAAGTTGTTGTTGGTGCGACGTGGCGTTGGGCTGCATTTGAATTTGAACCTGTTCTAACTGTTGTTGTTGTTGTTGTTGTTGTTGTTGTTGTTGTTGTTGTTGTTGCTGCGGCTGTTGTTGCTGTCGCTCTCTAATTGCAGTAGTATCCGTTGTCGCCGTTGGCGACGCCGGCTCACTTGGTAATCGCCCATCGCCATTTTGAATTTGGTTGCCATTTTGAATTTGGTGCACCGGCTGTTGGACGGTGCCGAAACAACCATGGCATAAACAGCGATCTTCATCATCATAGGTAGGCTGCGTTTCATTCATCCAAGTAATGTACTCTGAGAAGAACCGCTCACCAGTGTCCTCTCCCAGCAACTCAACATTCGAAAATGGCGGTGGTGCACCAGCCTGCATTGCCAAACTGTTGACCCAACTTAACTCAGAGTGGTTGTAATACGCAATGATTCCTTCAAAATAAGAGGGCATTTTCTTGCGCTCAATGACAGTACTGCGTACAAGACGCAGCTTATTTCGAATGCCAAGGTTAAATCTGGCGGTGCCCGTCAAGTTAAGATTGTCGGCAAGGGTGTTCCTCATTCCATTATTGGCAAAGTGAGCAAGAAGCCCATGGAATGCTTCCAGACAAGACTCTCCCCGTCGCGACATATATTCATTCAGCTGATGAGTGGAATTGGGGCTTGGTGTAATGACTTCATACATTTGATCGAGTGGCAACGGATCTTGGAGAAACTCAGCTTTTTCCTTGCAGTTGGTCAAAGCGACCTTGGTCTCAGCGGTGAACAGGGGCATTTGTGTGCGTGGATCTAATCGACCTCCTGGCTCTCTTGATTGGCTGCTGCTTCTTGTGCATTTGAATCGGTGAAACCAATCTTCCAGCTTGGATCTGAGGATCGCCGGTGGTCGGATTTGCTTCCGTAAGTACTTTCCGTATCTAGTTCGAAAGATATGTGTGCCCTTGATTTCTGCAATCTCCTCATCAGTGTACTTCTTTCCACTACTAGATAGAGTACCGGCTTTGAGAGCTTTCAGGAGTGATTCATGATCATCCGAGTTGTAAAAATAGATGGCATTGAGAAGCATTCCAATGGCGAGTGAATAGTCAACATGGCGCTTCCGGAGAGTTCGAACAATTCTTTGAATGAAATGGAATAGGCCGAGCCTTCCTTCGATTGTTTCGCCAAGCAGCATTGACCAGTAATCCTTCTTGCAGGGCCATGTATCGCTGTACATGACCTTGGGATTGAAATGCTGCCTTCCTGAAAGCTGTTTCGCGGCATGGGAAAAGTGAATTGTTTTGGTGGAAGGAACCAAAACAGCAGCTGCTATCTCTCCAGTTTCTGTTGAACACGTCCACATGGCCTCCACTCCCAGTTTCTTTTTGTTGATGTAGTTTTTGGTTACTTCATGAGTGTGGTCCTGAGCAAAGATTGCCTTGCACCGGACGCTTTGAATCTCCCTGGTGTGTCGGTCATGATCACTTAACCGCCATGGGGTGTGCTTGTTCTGTGAAGCGTCATTGTAGAGATCTCGAATCAAGTCACCGGTTGGTGGAAAGAAGCGAACGTACTGCCCATCTTTTTGAAGGTATGGAGTCAATGGAAGCTGTCGGGTGACTTGCTCATTAACTGACTCATTTGTAGAGATAAAAGAATAATAGCTTGATACCCTTTCCATGTAAGATCGATTGATTGCCTGGTACAATAGCTTGCTGCAGAGTTCTCCATTGCCATACGTAGGAAGCAACAAATCGAAAACATCGGTGGCGTTTCTTCCCAGGTGGCTGTTCTTGCCACGGAGGGCATATCTCATGTCAACATGGTAAGCTGCAGATGCATAAGCCGGTAATTGATTCAGAATAACACTGTGGTTAGCATTGTATCGAACTCTGCACTTAGGGCATTGCATCGACATGACCATACACCAATCCGGTGGACCATCCATTTTGAATATGGGGAAGAGGAGTCTGTTCTTAGAAAAATTGGTTCTTGTGTTTGCCATGAACGCTCCATTGCAACAAGGGCATAAAACATCCAATCCGAACATGGTTTTCCAATCGACAAGAAGCAATTGTTGACCAATAATGCTGTGATAGAATGGGTCCATGCATCCTTTGTCGCTGTCTGGAACCGTCATGGACAGCCCATTGAAATAGGACGAAATGAGTGCTCCTTTGTTAGCTCTCACCACTCTCTCACCCACAACCGTGGCAAATGCAAGCATGGCCAATGGCGCCTTATTATTTGAATACTGGTCGCAAAACTCAATATTAGATATCTTCTCAGTCACCGCTTGGCAAAAATTGATTGAATTTGTTGTGGTGCATGCTGAGGAAACTGGGTGCATTTCTTCATCACGGGTACCAGTACGTTTTTCCTTGGATTTACTTGTTCGTGGCGCAAAGAACGACCTACCACCATTTAGGTGAGCTGCGCTAAAGCCCGCTGGAGCAGAAAAGTGCCGTCGAAGACGCTTCTCCTCTGCCATATTTGCAAGAGTGGCTTCCGATGTGATTCCTCTGGTCCTACGATTGTTGGGACAAAGTCGATGATGGGGTCTATGCGGCGGTCTAAGACCGTATTCTTTAGCTTTGCAAATTACACAATCACGAATAGGTTCGAACGCTCTGTCACCATGCAGAGTAAGCTGATCGCCGTTCCCTTTTCTCTTCTTGCTGCTTTGATTAGCTTGCTGCAGTTGATGAGTTCTTTTTTCTTGGGACACTCGCCGCTGACTCTGTTGGCCCATGGTGTTGGATTGCGAGGATCCATTATCCTCCTCTTGCTGCTGCTGCTGCGCCACCGCCGCCGCCGCCGCCGCCGCCTCTTGTGTCATGTTGCTTCTGCTCTTCTCAATGACTCTCTATCGACTTAACAGCATTGTCATGGAATCTTTGGTTGCGATCGAAGTCAACAACAACAACAGCAAATTTCGCGCCAAAGTGGAGTGGTGGAACGGAAAGATGACATCATGAAATGTGTCTTGACCTTAATTGAAATAGTGTTCATTACTAGTACCGCGGTACTGTCAGCCAATCATATCCTTGCCTACTTTCCCATTTTACCCGCTGCGTCCATCCTTTGGTAGTATCTCCTGTGAAGTATTTGCGTTCCTTCATAGACTCCTTCTTCCGCTCAAACCAGGTGGAACGAGATAGACATATCCATTGTTGTCTACCGTAGGAAATGCTTTGGATCTGTACAAAGCATGAAAAACTTTTGGTTTTCGGTTTCAGGCAACCCCAAGCCAGGCAGGCAGCTAGCTAGAAAGCAAACAACCAAGGTACGCAGGCTGAAAGGGAGGAAACTAAGTGGCCTGGTTTGCTTGTCGTCTCTGGCCAGTATCCCACGCGAACAAGCCTCTCACAAAGTATTGCTCTACTAGCGAGAGAAACAATAATGGACGCCTACTTTGCCACACCAGCATTTTAGATTGCAACATTCTCGCTCGTTTTTCAAATAGTCGGGCACCTGGAGCGCAGCTGCTGCTAGTGGATAGTAGACAGCAAGATCAGCCACTATTTCCTGTGTGCACACTCTCTTCACCTTTCTGGGGACTCTCTTCATCGAGCCGGCTGGGAAGTCTCTTCGCAAGGGAACTGGCTGAGTTAGCCAACCTGCAACCTGGATGGATCGAATATTGTCGTTGAGAGGTTGCATCCCTTTACCCCCAAGAGCAAGAGCCGCCAGCTAGTAAGGGAGCTGTCCTCTCCCATCTTCCATCTTCCTCCCTCAGCCTTCATTCCGTGGGAGATGTCGTGACCTGTGCTTCCATGGCTTGTCGTCATGAGAAAGCCAACTGTTGACGACCAAGACATCCATGGCTGGTGTGGTGTGCATCCTATTCAAAAGTTGCCTGAAGATAAGCCTGCTCCACACCCGCAATTGTGAAGGCAGCCACACGAGGATAGCCTCAGCAGACAGCAGGAGAGTAGGACAAAGTATTGTACTCCCTATTTAATTAATTTACCAGTAGTGTAGTGACTCACTCAGGGTGTGAGTCTGGAATGTATAAAACGTCTTTTTTGCTCCTGCAAGCAGCCTCGCAAAGTTGGCTTGTGGGCTTTTCATCGTGATTCGTCTTGCTGAGCCAAAAGAGCGAGTGTGTGTGTGTGGGTGTCCGAGAGAGATGCCACTCATTACAGTATGACATCACTTGCTTGATGATCCATTCATTGATCGGTTGGACACGGGAGAGACACAAATTTAATATCCGACAGGGTTGGACTTTCCTCCGCTAATGTCCTTGCCAGCCCAGCCCAAAGCAGCGCCGTGTTGTTCAGGGGTGGATGCCCAAGCCGCCTGCTGACCAGGGTAAGGAGACATTTCAGCCAGCTGCATCTCGAATCCTTTGCCAGTGTCGATGAAGTATCCATCCACAATGACTTGCTTGGTCTTGGGCTTGGGGAAATTCATCATGGCAGGTCCGGCAGCGGCGGAAGAATAGGTGTAGATTCCCTCGCGAGTGACTTCTTCGGGAGCAACATGGTTCTTTCCTCCCAGCTCTCGGGTTAAGTGTGAAGGACCCGACTTTTGCTCTCGCACGGTGAAGGCTTGGTTAAAGCTCAAAGCTTGTGTGCTTGCAAGAGCAAGGGCAAAAACAACGGCGTACAGGGATCGCATCATGGTGTTGGATTTCAAGAGAAAGACTGGAGAAAAATCAATTTTGTGAGAACTGAAGGGTTACCAGGAGGGTGCGTTGATTTTGTGATGTTCCGGATCCTTTCAGGATGGCAGGTTGTCGGGACCTCCAGCCCCATCCATAGCCCCATCAGAGACGCACCACGTCAAACCAACGAGGGCAATGCAAGCAACGTTTGCACAACGTTTTCCCACCACGGACGAGCCTTTATGTTGGCCTTTCTCGATCCAGGACTTTGGATTGGATGAGGGTGACCATGAGGCCAGCCGACAAACGTCACCCTCTTTCGCGTCGGAGAAACTGAACACGTCACCCTCGTGGTGCAACCTTTGCCATCTGATTGGTCCTGATTCCACGTCCCGAAGGCAATTATGACGACGCCACGGAGCCTCCCTTCGGACATAGCTTTGTATTTCCGGTAGCTGCGGTACAATCGATTAATTGTTAGCAATTATAACGTGAACCCCATAGTTACCTGAACTACCCGTGTACATCTTTCTTGCTGGACACAATAGCCATGCTCGTCTGTTCCAGAACTGCCGGTAGCTGGTGGGATACCGGTGCTGGTACAGCCAGCAGATGGCTCTGTTGTGCTGCTTCATGTCTCTCTGAGAAACTCTGAAACCACAACAGATGGCTCTTGCTACGCAGCGATGAAACCGTTCTGTTCTCGTAGACGATGAGAAAGAATAGAATTCTTGGTCGCCCTCGAGAAAAGGTACAGTGTAGTCGATCGAGGTTCCTAGCTAGACTGGGACTAGTCCTTACTCTACTGAAATGAACAGTGGACGGAATAGCGTCCATGGCGCTTCTGCTTAGTTTGCACTGTTAGTTTTACGGTCGTACTTTGCCAGTGCTTATTGGCCATCTGCATGCAGCCGTCTTTCGTCATGTTCAAACATCGCATTGTGTCTTCAAGCATCAACACAACGACCTTCTGTACAACATTTTGGCCCCTTTGAGATTGTGCAAGGTCCCAAACAAACAAAAAACTTACAGGAACAAACAAGAAATCTGAAACTAAAGGACACAACCTGCCGACATACAGGGATGCCAAACTGGCTGAAGCGAACAAAGGGGTGTGGATACTGGCAAGAAATGGCAGTTTCCTTTTGGAAAGTTCCGTGTCGGAGATGGGAAACAGCGCCTGGAGAGAAAGCCGCAAGCCCCATGGGAAGCCCACGCTTGTGGCTAGCATGGCCTCGGTCCTAGTGATTCCGGAAGTGGCGAAGAGACCCAGGAGAGCGTATCCGCCCAGCGTTACATAGGCAAACACCCTACGAGCTGCTGCGGTTCCCATAAGGACGCAACGATTGCGCTTGTGGACAGCCCGATCGGCATCGGCGTCTGGTACATTCATTAGGAGCTGTCTTGAGAGACAGCAGTGACGAAGAGTGGCGTACTATGACATGAGCATCATGCACAAGTCTCGGTATCTCTAAAGAAAGTTCCATCAAGAGCATCATGACTTTCCACCCGACAAGCTCACTTCACTGGTCCTCTTTCATGGAACCATGCAGGATGAGTTTAACATGGGAGTATCCTCGGTCTCAGTGGCAACCTTTGTCTTCCTGGCAGTCTTTGGTTGGTTGTGTCCATCTTAGATTCCAGCAAGTAGTGTGACGCAACTTAGTGTGCAGCTGATCCACTCGCTCGCACGGCATGAAGTGTACACGTTGAATGGCCCCTATTCTTCCCGATGGCGTCAACGTTGCAGCATGCCACAATGTCCATCATGTCAATTCTCGAGCTAACTTTGAACTAACCAAGGTGCTGGATGTTCTTTGGGAGTGGATACTTGGAGTCAAAACCATTCAGATTCCAGCTGGAAGGTACGGTGAGGAAATAGGTAGTGAGTTGCACATGGCATTTCTTTCGACTTCAGATATTATAGTCTCCGCACTGTGTTTCTCTCTCGTGCCATACTGCTGAGCAAAGCGCGGGTACGATGGTGCACACACAATGGTCAGCTGCAAGCTCCCTTCTGTGGCTAGTTTCCACCTGTGTGTACCGCGGAAGACACAAATGGAAACTACGAAGCGATCTTGCTTCTTCTGGGTACATTTGTGCCTGTGCCATGATGTATGTAGGAATGACAGCAACGAGCTAGGATAGCGCACGACACTGGTAGCATGCATTGCTTCTCTGTCGTTACTATACGCATTATTGTTTCTTGCCTATTCTTTACCGTACAGGTATTTGTCACTTTTTCGTTCCACATTTCACGGTCGCATGCTGCCATCTCTGTGCTGCCACAATCTCTAAGCTGTCTTGCCATCAATCCAAGCCTTGACAGCAGGGATCTTTCCAAATGCCACATACATTGCCCACAAGTTGGGGTTGGACTTTTCCAAATCCTCAGCAGCAATCAATCCTGTAATGATATTGTCACGCAACAATCCAAACAAAGCTGCATCAGCCCAGAGTGGTGTATTGTTGTTGTTCGACTTGCTGACACTCAAAAAAGTCTCATGAGTCTTGTACTTGGCATACAAGGCATCAAAGATGGTCAAGAACTTGGGGGCATCGTCCTTCTGGTACTTGGCTTTTTCTTCATCCGTACCTGAAAATGCCGTGTTGACCCATGCATTGCGGAATCCCTGGTACTCATCTGCCACCAAATCTTGAACATATTCTTCATAGGCAGTGTTGTCCTTGGTAATGCCATGGAGATGGGCCAAGTAACGAGATGCCGCAATGTGCTGGATCAAGTGCACATTCTTGTCATCCTTGTTGTTGTCATGGGTGTACAAGATTGGCAGAGTTCCACATGGATTTTCATTGGAAGAGACAACACGAGCCTTTTCAGTGGCACCCCACTCGGACAGGTCGACCAAGTCTTCTTGAAAGGGAATGTTGTTGGCCAACAGAAAGAATCGTTGAGCTCCACCACGCCCTCCCAAACCATTGGGCAAGGCAAGGTACTTGAACGTGATGGGTGCAGTTTCAATGGCCATGATGGATCGAATCAATAATTGAAATTGGTTGGGATAGGTTGCTTTTACTCTTTTTGCTTTGCTCTTTTGAAGCTGGAGTTTTGGGATTTGTGAGAACCTGAGATCAACGAAGCGAAAATCCACAATCATAAATATGAAGCTAAAGGAATCATTTCTTCCTTGTTCATGTGCATGGGTAATGTTGGTTTTGTTGATCCAAGAGCTTCGTTTCGGCAAATGCTGGAGGTTTGCATATTCCATGGGTCTCTCGTCCGCATTGGATCCTCTTGGATCATTCAATTTCGATGGCTTCGAGCCCGAGCTGAAGTGAGTAACTTTGGCTCGGCTCACGCGTTTGAAGTCACGAATATCTTTCAGTCATGAATGACGTTTGAGAGAACAAAAGTGACAAGGTCAGTGACGTGTGTGGGCTTCAACTTTTGGATTTTCCTTCTGGCTCCAACCCAAACTGATTGCAATCTGTTGCCTTTCTTGCGAGATTGACTGCTTTCTTGACGATGTCAAAGAAAGTTATCCAATCTTTGGTTTATAAGATATCCGAGGGAGACAGTCCATAGATAGAGATCTGAAGCCTTGTGAAGTGCTGCTACCCTTGCTAGCTAGCTCTAGAAGAAGCAGGATCCGTCGTGTAGCGAGGAATCTGAGCTGATCAGACGGAAAGGATGAAGTTCTTTGGTATCCTGCTCGCCTTGCTTTCGGCGGTGTCAGTCTCGTCGTTTGCAGTTCCTTCCTCCCATGTTGTGAACACGCGGGTTAGTACTACCCAATCAAGTGACAGTCAGAAGACGACAGTCAGGAATCTGGCCGAGTTGAGTGATGACACTACCATTTCGAGTGTTTCTTCTCTCGTCGCAGCGGCGGACACTATCTTCAAGAGTGGCAGTATCAACTGGAAAGCAGCTGCTGGGACGTCCGTCATGGCAGGTGGCATTGTGGGATTGCTCGTTGGCTGGCAAAAAATGACCAAGTACTTTTATCTGCGACAGCCACCTAGCTTTCGACCCGTCCAAGAATCCATCTTTAATACACTGGCAGGACTGGGAGTAGTGGGTGTCTCGCTCAACTTGATTCTGGGTGTACAGCCCGTTCAAAAATCGCTGACGACCTTTTCCAAGGACTTTTTTGGAAAACCCGATATTTTGGTCGAAAACGTCATGTTTCTCCATGACGCCATTTTCCAACTGGGCGTAGCCTTTGCCATTTGCGCCGGACTCATGCTCATTCGTGGAGAACGAAAACTGATCGATATCGCATCCATTCAAGAAGAACAGATTGATCCACAAACGGGAATCTACCGATTGACGGCCGAAAATCTAGCCCGGTACATCAAGATACGAGAATTCAATCGTCCTCAAGAACAACCCGGATACATTGGCATTCAACGAGAAATTTTCATGGATACCGGGGAATGGTCGGCCAAAATTCTGCTCTTGCGAAGTCACGTCATGGATCTATTCCCGTCTTTGCCAGCTGATTTCCGCGTCGAAGCGCTCATGGAAGAAGACTTTGCCGCAAACATGTACAAGGCCGTACAGGTACCCTTTTTCGCATGGGCCTTGTACATTCCTGCACTCGCCATTTCCAATTCCATTGATTTGAGTCATGGAGTGGTCAATTCCGGAGCAGCCAATGATGCCGCCAGTGCGGGATACTTTTTTGACGAATTCTTTTCCTTTGTGCCCAGTATTTCCTCTGTCATTATTGGCAGTATTTGGGGATGGTGGAATTGCTGGAAAATGACACAGGTCAAGTACATGATCTTGCCCCGGCTCGAACCAGATCAAGCCAATGATGGAATGCCCGTCATCCGACCACCACCCATGTACAATGATTATGTGCGCAGTACATTTGATGCGTCGCCACCCTCGCTCCGACGCGTCGAACGATTCTGGGGCAAGGAACCACAGACGATTTACGATGATCTCTTTGGACAAGCCGGATCGGCGGGGTTGGAATTGTATGGAAATTCCATCAAGTACCAATTCTGGTTGACATTGACCAATGTGGTGTATTTTGGACTGCAGATTTTGCCCCGTGATTTGGAAGTATTTGTCAATGGTGCCAAGGCGGGAGATCCCACCAATGTTTCGGTAGAACTATGGTTCTATGCCATTATGATGTCCGTGTCCTTGATCAACCTGTTCTTGGTTACCCCTCGAACCTTTTGGAACTATTCCTTGGTAAGTTGTATGGAAGGAGAAAACTTGGTGGAACTCTTGAGACTTTCGGGCTACGGCACACCCCAACAAGTGGCACAACCACGCACATCGACAAACCCGTCGCTGCCCATGGGGGGTGGACCACCAGGTGCCGCCGGCCGTCTTCCACCGTCAAACAACCCAGGAGGTACTTTCCAAGGAGGAGGAGGACCTGGCGGATTTTCGAATGGAAACTATGTCGACTCAGATTACAGGGACACCTTCTAAAAGAAACACGAAAGAGGTGTTCCATGGCGCTGCCTGTGTTCCTGTTTAAGGAACAAGCGGTTTGCTTGGACGTCGAAGAATTTGTACGAGACACACAATAGATTGGGTTTTCTTTCGGCATCTGCTCTCTTGTAAAAAAAAAAACGCAGCAAAGATACCCTTGACAAGATTATACGTATATACGTAACAAACTATGCATGATGTTATCCACGCGGAAATAGTGGCAGTACTGACTCGTCGTGCCAACGGGCTCAAGCCGATGGTTCCAAAAGGAAACAGCCATGTACATGCAGCTTGCGATAAGTTTGAATAGATTTCCCGGTATCGTAACGAAAGCACGAAACAAAATGACACCACACTGCCGCAACTGTGTTCCACTTTTAGCCCGAGTGGGCCCTATCTATGACGGCACTTTTTAAAAGCCACCGAGACTTTATCCATTGGTCAAGGAGGTGATACCGTCGATCCCAATGAAGTGGCACCAGTGCCAACGGTGTCCTGATCATCTGGAACTGGAAAGTGCGCCATGTGCTGGAGTGTCTTGACAAGTCTGGAGTCGTCGCACTTCTCCTGGAAACGCTGAACAATGTAATTGATTCGGTCTTCGTAGAACTTCATTGTTTGGCGCTCGAAATCAATGTATCTGTTCCTTCGCGCCAACTTGGTTTCGTGCGCTTCAATTACTTTTTCGAACACAGGAACGTTCTTCGTCAATGCCTCGTTTTTCATTACCTCGGCATTATGAATGTCCTGGAGCTCTTGATAGTATGTGTTCGTCTTTTCCAGCTTGTCTTCCAACTTGATGTTTTCTTGATAGGTGTCAAACATTTTCCCCTTCATGACCTTCTGATCTGCTTCTTCCCTCTTTATTTCTGCCTCTAGATGCTTTTTCAACGCTTCAGGGCTTCGAAGGGGAACAGTAGCATTCTTCAGGTCGACTTCCAGCTTTTCGATGCTAGCCTTTAATCGTTTGATATCATCCTCCTCTTCATCAGTGCTTAGAGCCAGAATACTCGTCTTGCTCTTTCGAAATGACCTAGCAATCGCACGAAGATCGGACAGCGAATTTGATCGGTGTCTTGCAAGAGTTGGTCTTAGCGAAGGGGTCAAGAGAGCGGTTATCGAACGTCGATGGCTAGCAGGGCTTGGTTCCCGGGAAGGCGGACGGTTGGTTGGCGCTGTACAGTCCTCCGTTCGTGAACGCTGCAATCGCGATTTCCGTGGTCCTCGAGGACCTCGAGAGCGCTTCTTTTCCAAGGGCGAAGGCTTATCATCACATAAGTCGCCGAACGTTCCCGCGCTATCGTGCATCGTCATGGACTGTTCCATTTCTTCACTTGCGATACTGACAGGCTGTTGTTGTTGTCCCTTCGCCTTCCTTGTCCCTCGGGACTTGTTGTTATCGAAGCGGCTGGTAGAATGAGACGAACCGCCACCAATGGTTGGAATGCTATCGTTCATTGTCAAGTTGGATTGATCGAGATCCTCATTATGGTTTGTCTCGAGCACCTTCTTCGTATCAAGACGAGGAGATCTCAGGTCCGATAAAGAACTGGATCGAGTGCGGGCCACACCACGTTTGAGCCTGGCTGTGTCCTTCGGTGATTTTGATCCACGACGTTCCGACTTCTTTTTATCGGATCGTCCACGTTCCGACTCGGGTTTAGTATCGCCCTGGGTGGCAGATTTGCGCCCAGTCGCAGAATCTCTGATCCTGGTTTTGCTTCCCGAGCGACGAGTCGACTCGCGTTTCTTTCTCGGTGCCGGTGACTTGGAGTCAGAGCCACTCACTTTGCGAGTGGCCGTTGAAGGCTTCTTCATTGGGCCCACGTGATTATCCGACGAACAAACCCTTCGCGCACTTTTACTTTTGGCGGCATCCAAATCGGGCGTAGCTTGGTCCGTACCATGAAATGTGCTATGTCGTTTGATTTTGTTGGCAGCACGGGACTTTTGCGGCGGTTGTTGTCCCTCTTCCCTGGCAGCGCCCGCTCGTTGCAAGTCCGAAAGCGACCGAGATCGTGTTCGATCCAAATTTCCACGCTGTGGTCCATCCGCGGAAGGAGCTTCCGCGGTCTTTTTGTCCTTGCTTTTTCGACGTGTTGGATGGTCCGTGTGCCGCAACGAGGATCCATCCGGTCGTCGACCATTGCTCCGTGATCGCGATCGACCGTTCTTATCGGCCTCGTCTTTGTTACCACTTTCGGCACTTCCCTGGCTCGACAATGTCTTGCTGCTCCCATCCAGGATCGTCCCCCGTCTGCTGTTGCCGGCGCTGTTTCGTTGCCGCGCTTCGTGATCACTGCCGGGGTCCTTACGTTGTACCCCCGCCACGTCGTTCCGAGCATTGTCGCTCATGATAGCCATGGATGGATAGTTCGAGTTGCTGTTGCTGTTGCGTGCCTCCAAAGTCGTTGCGGATCGTGCCTTGGATCCCCTGAGGGTGGTACGTTTATTGTTGTTGTTGCTGCTGCCACCGTTGCTTTTCTTTTTTTGTAACTGCTCTTCCCGTGTCAAGTTCATCAATGGCGGCGGTGCTTCGGACTCTTCGTCTTCATCCGATGTTGCCGCAAAAGATGCTGCAGCCATGTAGACATGTTCTTCGTCATCGTCTTCTGGGTACTCGTCGTCATCGTCGTCGTCGTCTGTGGCATCAGTTTCATCGTCATCCATCATTGCGGCACTCTCCGCACTCCCCAGAAACCAGGGATTATTGTTGGTATCAAACGACGACGATCTTGCAATGCTGGGCGAAATGGCATTGCTACAAGAATTTCGACGCCGTTGACGAGGAGGTGTCTTGTCCTTGGTGTTGCTGTTGTTCTTGAGAGTTTCGGTGGTGGTTTTAGTGGCCATTTTGCTCTTCCATTTATTGACCTGATCGGGATTGGCCATGCTCCAGCGTGAAGCTGGCGCTGGAGCCGGTTTTTCAGTATTTGTTGGTTGTGGTGGTTGCTGCCCATGGGAGGATTGCGACGTCAATGGTAAGCTGGTGACTCGCGTTAATCCCGCCGCGGATTGTTGTTGTTGTTGCTGCTGCTGCTCTTGTTGTTGCTTGATACCGGGAGTCCGGTGTGGAGTGAATAGCATGTCGTAATCATCATCGTCATCATCCGTATCATCAAATCCCATGAGACTGATATCACTGTTTCGAGTATTATTCGTTCGATTGAGATCATCCTCTTCTCCTCCGCCACCATCGTTGATGGACTTGGATCGTCGTATTTGTTGTTGCTGTTTGCTTTTGCGTTTGCCCTTGCTGTTGTGTGTTTTCAGCGGACTGTCGTCTTGCGGTTGCTGAGGTGGCATGGTAGTAGAGCGTTTTTGCAGTACCCGTTTCCTTCCCGACCCCCTTGGTGTCATTTTTTTGGCTTGTTGTTGCTGTTGCTGTAATCGTCGAGGGGTCGGGGGCTCATTCGTAGTAGTAGTATTGTCCACTAGTAGAGATCCTCGCGATGCACTTTTTCGCATGCCTCCTCGTGGTGGTTTGCGCGCGGTATCATTATTTTCCGATTTGACCGTCTTGGCACTCGACTTTGGTGTTTTGGAGGCCCCACTGCGTTTTTTGCGTATATTTTTGCCCGGAGTGATGGGCGACGCGTAGGGATCAAATCGCGGTAGCTGGTCCGTCATCGTGAGATCCGTATTGGCGGTACTCATGCTTTGCAGGGTCGAGGCGGTGCTGGTGCTGCTTTGTAATTGCTGTTCCAGATGATGATTGGTGGCAGCGTCCGAATCTAGTATGGAGGAATGGTTGGTTTTGGTGGGAGGTACTTGGAGGGATGTTCGTCGTTGTTTGAGGAGAGATTTGGAAGCTGGTTGAGGAGAGAGCAATTTGACTTCGGAAGGTGTGACAATGGTGGGAGCAATTTGGAGTGATTTAATGGAAATTCGTTTGGAACCACGGAGTGGTTTGATGGGGTTATTGTTGTTGCTTTTATCCATAATGGACCCTCTGGATGATTTGGGTGTCTGTTTGATACTTCTACTACTATCAGCTGCAGTGAATTGTCTTAGGTCAGTGAGTGATCTGGAACGATGTCGTTGCAGATTGCCTCGTCGGGGTTCTCTGCCTCTGGAAGTCGTATTGGTGTCGGGTGGTAACTGAATCACGGTACCGGCATCATCACTGTACGGTCGAGTATCCTTGCTGGGAGGCGCCAAAGCAGTACCGTTATTGGGATTGGCATTGTTGTACGTCCTGGTATCCTTGGGAGGAGGCTTGAGCGAGACAACCGAACCCTGACGTTGCATGGAGGGTCTACTCACGGTAGGAGTATTGAGAGTGGCGGCCAATAAACTGCCTCGTTGTGAGGTATCCATGGAAGGATCTCGGACGGAAAATCGGGCATTCTGACGTCTCGCTCCATGAGAGGAGGTATCCATGCCATTGATACCCATACCGGCACGGTGGGTATGCGAAGATGTGTTGCTCAGCAAGAGGTGGCCGGCGGAAGACGCCTTGGTCATGGACGGATGCGAATTACCGAATGCCTCGAAAAACACTTCATCCTCTTCTGGTTGTTGTTGCTGCACAGTATCCAGTTGCTCACGTTGGCGCCGTTCCTCCCGTCCTCGACGGCGTTGTGCCAATCGTTCTTGGATAGAAGCATTCATCGTCTACACTATGGGAGCGTGGGAAACAATGGACCCGAACACTGATTACGGTAGAATGGAGGTGGCAACTTGATAATGGGCCTTATCCTGGGGTATCCTGGGTATACAGAACAACACTACACTATATTAAAACCAGGAGATCCATGCCGGAAGGGTGCCTGATGAGTTGGATAATGAAGAGCAGTCTCTGGATTGCACAGGTAGCAAATAAATAAATATTGGCCGGGTTGTTGCTTCTTCCCTAACAACAAAACGATGGTGGGTGATGAAGGCGAACTGGTGGAGCCATCGCCTGTCGTGTCCCAAAGACCCTCCTCGACTAAATAAATTAAAAGAACTTTCCTTTCTTTGATGCACTTGCTCCGCGCGACTGGAGTGTTGTTATCAATGACTTTTAGGCCCCCGGTACAAAAGTGTTCTGGTGTACTAGCACGTCTAAATAGTTGGGACCTGCTTACCGGTAAAAATGGAATGCAACACAAGATGTCGTGATAGCAAGGAGAATCAGGAGTTAGGAAACATGCGGCTGATAAATCATTGTCATGGTCTTCCCTTCGACGAGCAATTCGAATTGGATCTTCAATCGAAGAGTCCAGTCCAGTCGATTTGCTCCAACATTGAACATTCGATTGGATGTTTCCCAGACGGCTCCAAAGGTCTGGCTACGGGTATGCCAAAAGACATCACTGTCTTTGGGGTAAAGACTCCTTGCGTGAAGGCAGTTGCAGCCACCACCTGCAGCTTCTGAAATTGCAGCCAGGAACGGAGAGTTCTGGAAGGCTTGCTTTGATGTTCAGAATCAAATTGGGCGCATGAATATGGATGCCTTGGCGATGAAGAAAAGTATATGTGCATTGGCAGCTGAAAATGGACAGTTGGACATGCTGCAAGAATGGTTGTATGAAAATGAATATTCCTGGGATGAACTGAATGGCTAAAGGATCTTTGGAGATTTTCGCGTGGTGTCTTGCAAATGGTTGTCCCGATGCACTTGACAGTGAGAGTGACAGTGATTGATCGTTTCTAAAATATCTCTTCTGGCACTGGTTTCATCGGAGGTTTCTGCTCTCTTTATACTCCAAAAGCTTCCTGATAAACTAGCTAGAGCTAGCTAGCTAGTTAGGAATGAAAACCTGATCTTGGGGCAGTATTGGGGTTGGCTTTTGGTCATTCGTTGCGACGATGGAGTGTGGTCCAGCCGAAGCCTACCGTATGTTTTTGTAGCCTCCTGGCTTATTTATGAGCTCATTTTTTGTCCGGATTCGCCGTTGGAACGACGAGGGATCTGAGAACGCTTCAGTTCATCCCGCGGAGACGTGGTGATAAAACTAACCATTCTGTGAGTGTGGTAATGGCACACACACATGCGATAAAAGAACCCGAGTAGCACAAATCACAACATAGAATCCATCCATTGCCTGCTCGAATCCCTCAGTCACCATGAGCATCAGCACTCCAACAACTAGCGCCACATCCAATGCCAATAATGGATCCACTGTTGTTTCCACCAAACACGCAGTAGTTTTGCCAGCACACGCAAAGTATTCCAAAACGATTACCAAGTTTCTCAAGTCGGGACGATTTCGTTGGGTGGCCGTGGTGGGATGCATACTGCTCCAGGTCCAATATGCCATTCAGAATCGTTATGCCATGGTCTTTGAAAATAGGAACTTGAACACCACGATGCGACGGTTGGACCAGACAAACTCCAATAATTTGCCACACGTCGACTTGGAGTTCCTTGGGGCAGCAAAGAATGAGACTGCCATCATCAACAACGATGAGCAGAAGAATTCATCAGAAGAAAATCAATCAACAACAGCATTAGAGGAAGAAGAAGAAACAGCATCAGATGAACCCAAAGAGCCGCCGAAACAACCAGAGACTGTCAATGTTCTGTTTGGTCTGCATGGAAGCAACCAATTCTTTTTTGACGAATGGGAGGTTGCCTTTAAGAGTGTTCTCTTGAATGCTCCTCTCGATGCACCACTCCACATTCACATTGTGGCCAATGGAGACGCACATGTTCGAGTACAAGAGCGATTGCAAGACAACCATTTGATTGGCAGTCTATGGCGAAATCCCATTACCGTCACCATCTACAATGTCGAACGACGACAAGCCGAATTCCACGCGTTATTGAAACACGCCTTTCGTGGTGGACAAGCCACAATTGACGAACGTGTCTCGTTGGGGGGATATTACCGACTCTTGTCGCCCATGGTACTCCCGCAAGGGACCGGCCCTGTGGCCTATATGGATGCCGATGCCGTCATCATGGCCAATCTCGGGGACCTCTGGAAACATGTCAATGCTTCGTATTCCTTTCAAGCCTCTGCGACGTGGCTCTGTAGTGCTTTTATCATTATCAATATTGATCGAGCCGGAAATTTTTGGGATTTGGTCGATCAATTGCCCATTGTGGATCATGGCGGCGATCAAAGTCTATTAGAGAAAGTCACCAAGGCCAACCCGGAAATCATGGGACCACTCCCGGTCACATGGGATACCCACATGGGACACGGACATCGACCTGTACCGCACCACGTGCTAAAAAAGAGACCCGATGGTGTGGGCTTTCTCCATTTCAACGGCAATCGTCCCAATTACTTTCACGATGGATTGCAACAATACTGCGATCGAGCCAAATCATGCAAAGACGATCCCCGTGCGCAACAGCTATTCCAACAAACGTGGGGGTTGGCGGATTACTACGTAAACATGCCCTGGGAGTGGGCCAAGTACACGGGAGGAGTCAGCAAAATTCCACCCGGAGAAACGGGACATCCACTGCGGTATGTTGAAATCATGAGTAACAGTACCTGGATTCCTCCTACAGATCCACCAACAAAGCCACGCCAAGACGACCACGCAACAACTTCCAATCAAAGAAAGCAAGACCAAAGGACAAACTTGCGGCGCAACCATCAACGCACCGAAACGGAGACAGAGAAAAAGCCTCAACCGCCCGCCGTGTTGCCAGCCGACCACAAAAAGGCTGGACGCAACCATAGCGGTAAATTTCGGGCCGTCGCTCGCCGTTCGGAGAAACAGACGGCGGCCGCAGATCAACCAGAAAAGGCACGCCAAAAGGCAACCAACGTGGCTCGTCGTCGTCGTCGTCGTCGTGGTGAGGAGAACACTACCCAGACTTCTACGACGGATCCGACAAAGCCACGCCAAACGGCAACAAATCGGCGCTCCGAGAAGAAGACCAGAACAGCGATGGCTACAGATCCACCATCGGATCCACGCCAAAAGGCAACCGACGGAGCTGGCCGCTTGGAGAAGAAGGCCAAAACAAAGACATCTGTTGATGAGCACAAAAAGGCTGGCAACAAAAACGCGAAAGCTAAACAAGAGCCAATAGCTGAGAATGATCCAAGAGTTGTCGGTGGTCGCAAATGGATCCAAAAGGAAGGCAAAAATGCCACTTCCATGTGAGACTGACTCGACTCTGTACAATAGGAATTGCGCTGCCTGATTACCCAAAGGTGGAAGCCAGCAACTGACCTTCTTGGGCGGTTGGGTCTTGCCGAGTGATTTCCGATCGACTCAAGTGTAAGACAGAGACTTTCCGTACTGTAACCTAGCTAGGGCTTGAGCAAGCAGATAATCCATGGTGTCATCTCCTGACTGAAAAGCTATGTGAACTAGATAGCAGAAGTTTTAGCATCATCTATTAGTTTCTATATTTTACAACTGCTGCTGTCGGTCAGATCTATCTAGTTGCGAGCATCAGCTCTTCCGACCGGTACTGGTACCGTAGTTATTGGGCAGCGATTGTGACAGGGATGGCCATTACCAGATTCTTGGAATGGGCCCTCTCGGGCGTGCTTATGGTAACCAATATCTGGTGGTCCACCTTGATGTTGTTCTTTCCTTTGCAGTGACTGTTCAACGCCGTGCTCGGTACGGCCGGCAGCACAAGAGCGTTGCCATGTCCACCTGCAAGTTCCTTTTTGACTAGATGAATCTTGTATTTCTTTGCCTTTTGCGGGTCTTGTAACGTGACACTTCCAGAAGACATATCCATTGAGGAGGAGCCATCCAAGATCGTTGCTTGCTTGATCAATGTTTCACTCTTGATTGTAATGTAGGTAGGGGCCTTTCGACCACCCCCGCATTCACCCTTGGCACTCCACCTCACCTTCTGCTGCACCTTGGCTTCGATGGACTCCACAACTGTGTCACCCTCATTGATTATAGAAAGTTGGACTTGGGGGTGTTGCCCAACGCGCAACCGTGTGTCCAGGATCTTTAGTCCGCAAGTGATCTTGCCTCCGTCAAACGTCAAGATCTTCTGGACTGGTCGTGGGCGCTTAGACTTGGCTACCACTCGGATTTCCTTTCGAGCTTGGTAGTTCTTTAGGATACCGGAACCTTCTACCACGGCGCGCAGCGAGTATTCAACTCGAGCACCCTCATTGGCTATCAGCCGATCTCGACCACGATGGGACAGGCGAATGGTGGGCGGAAGGTCATGAGGCACCATGATTGAAAAAGGAACATGGTGCGTTCCCGCTGCGATGTGACCTGCTTGAATTATGCCGTGCTGTGCTGTGGATATGCCAACATTGACCAATTCCGCTTCTGCGCAGCATCTGCTGCCTTTGCTTCCTTCGACCGTCGTGAGCTCTTTCCCACGGAAGCGTAAACTCAATTCAGTGGCAGCGATTGCCTTGCTGGCCTTGATGACGAGACATCCAGAGAGTCGACCACCGGTCTCGACTGATTTCTGGTCCACTTGAAAGAAAAGATCCATGTTCATTCCGAAAGCTCCGATTTGCGGCGTTTTGAAATTGTGAGCAGTTTGAGTGAGGTACGGATGCAATCTCACAATCTACGGGTCTGTAAGTATTGGGGGTTTGGGTGGGACTTTTTGGGGCACAATATTACTTAATATCTAATCGTGGTCTTGGTTGGGAGAATTACACATCTCAGAGTGCTTACGCCTTCTTTTTAAAGACCGTCTTGGATGGTGTCTTGTGAGAAAACAGCAAACGCGAAAAGATTTAAAGCCACCAGTGTTGGCATCTCCTTTCTTACTTTTTTCGCAGCGACGAGAACGCCGAGAGCTCGCCGAGTGTCGAGATACTAAATAGTAAGACAAGATCTTGGAGAGTGCATACGTGCATATCGGTACACCGGTACCAAAGTACTAGTAAGTGACAGCGTTCGTTTCAAAATATTTACCCGTAGTAATGAAGCGTTGCTCTGTTGCTACATTTAGCGGGAGGACACAGGGGGTGGGGATACATAAGAAACTTTCCGAAACTTACTTTTGTTGAAGATACTTAAATACGTACGAAGCGACAAACTTCAGCTCTCACTGGCCCCTTCATACCGGTAAATCATACCGGTGCCATACTAGTAGCATACTGCTCGACATGATAAGGGAAAAGCTTTGGTTGATGTGCTTACCGGTATACAGCATTGTTGTTACCCGAAGCATCGAACTGTTACCTGGCATAGGTCGGGAACTCCCTGTTCGCAGTGAGATCCAGGCGTCGAGAAGCAGCCCGAAGGGAGAGCCGCCGCATTAACCTGTCAGCCGACGAAGGACAAAAAGGAAATTTCAACTATGGCCGTATTCATAGCACTGCACAGAAGGCTCGTTGAAACAAGATAGAAGAGCTCTTGGATGCGCATCCCATTATCTCTTAAAAGCAAAATCCACGGTTACCTAGCTAGCGGAGTGTTCTCGCGATATAAAGTGACCCCACAGGCAGCTAGCATGAGAGTCCTCTTTTCGCCACCAGTTGAGCTCTCCTCAGCTTCTGCCGGTTGACGGTGGTTGCAGTTGCCTGAAGCACAGTGGTACCAGGTACAGCGGGGCGCTTGTTCGTTAAGGCCTCGCCCGTCTGGTCTTGCTCATCGAACAACCCCCGCCGCCGCAAGCATTTCTAGCAGTTCGCTCAGAAGCCGTAGAAAGCAATTGACACCGCAACTGAAAAGCGTTCGCCACTGCGTGGCTCAGCGATCGCACTGATGCCAACTACTAGAGCATACATGCATCTTATCGGCAGTTACATTCTGTTGGCTGCTGACGCGTTCTGTTATATATGCAGTGGGACATCACGCAGGAAGCTAATCTATCAAAGAGCGATTAGCTACAACTACACCAATCACACCCACAAAGGAGCGCGTCACAGTCAAATTGCAGGCCATGAGCGTCTTTCCTGGAAGTGTTGTATTGGCCCAGGGCACATAAACCATCGGGAACTACCCCAGAGAGAGCATTGCCACCAAGAGTCAGAAAATTCAAGGCACCATTCAATGCCAACAGCGACAGCTCACTTGGGATCGAACCAGAAAACTGATTACCATGGAGCTCCAATGTTGTCATGCCAGTCAGTAGAGCAAGTTCACTGGGCAGGGCCCCAGTGAATGAGTTCTCAAAGGCTTTCGGTTCCACCATTGCTTTCATCTGACCAACGTCTGTTGGAACTTGCCCATTGAACTGATTGCCATTGATTCGGAGATGGTTTATGTTTGCCAACTGCCAAAGTTCACTTGTGATGAAGGAAAGATTGTTGTCAAATACAACAAGGCTGGTTACATTCGTCAGCAATCCACACTCGGATGGAATAGGGCCAGAGAGTGATGAAGCACTGAGATATAGTTGGGTGATGGCAGTGAGCCTTCCAATCTCTGATGGAATCTCTCCTTCCAGGTTGTTGTAGCCAAAGTTCAGCCTGGTGAGCCTTGTTAGTAGCCCGAGCTCACTGGGCACTGTACCAAACAACTTGTTCTTCTGTGCCCTCAAATCTGCGAGCCTTGTCAGCAAACCAAGCTCAACTGGAAGGGTTCCTGTGAACTTGTTTCTTGCCAGCTGAAGCTCCTTGATCTCTGTCATCTGAAACAGCTCACTTGGAAGAGATCCAGACAGCTTATTCTGGTTGAGGCTCATTTCATGGATGCTGGTCATCATACCAAACTCAGTGGGAATAGTGCCTTTGATCGCTCTGTTTCGATTGACCTCAAATTTTCTGGCATTTTGCAGTAGCCCAAACTCAGTAGGGAGGCTCCCTGAAAGAGAGCAGCTGTCTAGCTGTACTTCTTGAAGGCTTGTCAACATGGCAAGCTCACTTGGGATTTGTCCTGTAAGCATCTCATTGTGGTTGAGTCCCAGGTAGGTGAGATTCTGCATCTTGTATATTTCCGGTGGCACCCAACCTCTCAGGGTAGCATCGATTCCATTTCGACGCAAGACAAAGTATGACAACGAGGACAACAATGCAATTTCTGGGGGGATAGAAGGTTGAAACGCAGAGAGCTCCAAGTCATCAAGGATGATAGTCTGGATTCTGCCTTGGTGGTTGCAAGGGTCAATGTCATTTTGAATCTCCTCCTGATAGTCTCGGCCATCTTCACTGAATCTGCCATAGGCACTTGAGAACCAAAGACATTCTGATTTGTCATAGAGCAACCACCGACTTCGGATTTCTTCTCTCCAATTAGGACCCTCAAATGCATAGTAGAAGGCAGCCAATGCAAAGAGTTGAATCTTTCTCCACTCTGCCATGTTATGCACTTCGGGATGGTAAAACAGCCAGTTCATTGCCCTCCATTGCGGAGTTGAAATACTGTCAAGCTTGGCCACTGTAGACCTGGGGAGTTCTTGTAGCATCAAATCGAGGACCCCAGAAGGAGCAAAAGATGGAGACTCAGAAGGTCGTAGTGACGGAGCAGCAGAGTTGGGCATATCACCCCTCTGGTGCTGCAAGACTTGACCAAGGAATATCCCAAGGATCAAACATGCCAAGGCAAAGAAAAGGAAACCCAGGACTCTGATGTATTGCTGGTCTCGTTTGGGCCGTGGCTGCTCCAGCGGCCTACGAGTAACCATCTCTGCTCGGGGTAGTTGACGGAATAGCACACTATCTCTCTCCACAGGATCTGCTTCAATAAGCCCGTCATTGGATTCAATATCAGCAGAGTCTCTGATTGCTTGAACTAGCTCTTCTGAGCTCACCATGGAGCTATCCGGTGGAGATGACTCTGATGATTGAATTGATGACCTACCTGGCACTCTGAAGGCCCCCGGTTGCGATGAGGTGTTGATGGTGATGGTGTTGTTTGAAAGGTCTTCGTGCTCAACAGTTTCGTTCATCGCAACACTTTGAGAGGCATCTACTAGTATAGACTCCTGTGCATCCCAAACTGTTGCAACGTTGGTTGATTCTCTGGTTTTCTCATCTGCTGCTACCACAGCATCCGGCGGTGGCAAACTCGGGGACGCGGTCTGGTCACTAGTAGCGCCAGTTGCAACTTTTGCTGCAGTACTTGCCATGATGGGTGATGCGCCGGGTTCTTGATCTTTGGGTTTCTTTTCTGATAGGCTAGCACCTTTGGCCACAGCGGCGGGAGTACCGCCAGTGTTGCCAATGCCAGCTTTCGCCGCTGGAACACCTTCACCAAATGGCGCCGAACTAGCCTTCTGTGCTTTCTTTTCATCGTCGGGTACAAAGTTTTCTTGGTGATTCTCGAGGGTCCGGTCCTCCCGTTGGACTTCAGAAGATCTTGTGGTGGCGGCAGCCAAAGATTCCATATCAAGGGCAGCGGGCTTCGAATCGACTTCCTCCTCTTCGGAGTCGATTCCAGTGCCATCTTTACCATTATTCCCTCTCTTCATTGCGACTTCCTCTTCTCTCGACTGCTCGCTGTGCCTTTTTTCTGAGCAGTGCTGCACATTATCTATTCCCTGGTTCTTGAGCGCGCTGAATGCTCTATCCAGTTGCTGTGCTCCTCTCGCTGTTGTGTCGCGTGTGAAATGACAAACCCGTTTTTCTCCCAGATCCTCGAAAACCCCAACCTTCATTTTTCCGTCATCTCCAGTTGGATGTGCACTGCGCACCGGAAGACTGCCCCGAACATCACCTTTTATTAGCTCTCTCTAATCCATAAATGTAGTCTAGTAAACCCGATCTTTTAAAATGACAACATGTCGGAAGGAGAGGACAATAACGAGGACCCTCATGGCGACGACCATGAAAGCAACAGAAGAGTCAAGGTGATCATTGTTGGAGCTGGTGCTGCGGGGTTGACTTGTGTGGCGAAATTACTGGAGTCCAAAGTGGTCTCCCACCAAGATATTCTCATTCTCGAAGCTCGCGATCGAATTGGCGGAAGAATCCATACCACCCAAGAAGCCATTCTTCCAATTGACCAGGAGGGAAGCAATCCCGTGACGGTGTTTCGGGATCATGGGGCTGCTTGGGTGCATGGAACTGGCTACGAGTGGTCTGCTACCAGTACAGACTCCAACAACAACAACGAGAAGCCACTCGATGCCACTGCTGCTGTCCATGACGATAATGAATTCCCCATCAATCCAATGATCCAGTTGCTTACAAACAATTCAAAGGAAGGCCTAGAACCAGTCTTTGAACGGGGCAATCCGTGGACACGGCCAGGCCATGTCTTGTTGGGCCTTTCAGAAAAGGATGAGACTACGGTGGCTGCCCACAACAAGCCCAATCTTGTCCTCTTTGTCAATGGCAGGCAAATTGGAGGAACCCAAAAGGATGTTGGTGAAAATAAGCCTGATACGACAATCTTTAGAGCAGCACTCCAGCGGCATGCCAAAATCATGCAACAGGTTGGACAAATTGGCTACCAACTGATATCCAGTGGACAGACCCTGAAAACTGTCGAGCAAAGCTTCCAACAAGCGGTAGATGAAGTGATGGCGCAACAACAAGAACAATCAAATCCCACAATCGAGCTTGTGGCAGGATTTTATCGATATCTCATTACCTGTTGGCATGGGACGAGTGCTTCGGGTCTTCAGCTCCATGAATTTGCAGAGTGGGAAAATGATGATTTGGAGGAGGACAACAACAATCATCAGTTGGACGATGCCGAATACCAAGATGAGGGTGACTTTTACGGCCCTCATTGCACCGTCAAACGTGGGATGCAAACACTCTTGGATCCCTTATTGCAGACAGTCTCATCTTCCTGCATTCGGCTCGGCCAACCCGTCACTCGCATCGAGAAACAACAATCATCAGATTCTGATGAACACGTAATTGTGGAAACGGAATCCGGAATGACAATCGCTGCAGATTACTGTGTTGTGACAGTACCCCTCGGGTGTCTGGCACACAGTATTGACAATCATAATGATGACAACAACGACAACAACAGAGGGGCCATCGCGTTCACACCGAACCTATCCCAAGAAAAGCTGGATGCCATTCGGCACTTGCAAATGGGATCCTACAAGAAAGTCTTTCTACAGTTTGACCGCATCTTTTGGCCAAAACAAGAGCCATTTCTGGGATTGGTTCGCAATGCTAGTTCCTCTGACGCACAGAAGGATGACTTGGGTCCCTATCTGCTGTTGGATAATCTCTGGGCTCGCAACAATTTGCCATGCATCGAAGCGGTCCTCATTGGCGATGCCGGGATATGGGCCACGGGCAAATCAGACGACACCATTCGCACTGCCGTGTTGGCCTTTGCGGCCAATGCCATGGGCTTGGATTCTACCGTGCTGCACAAGTGGTGCGTCGAGTGTCATGTCACTCGATGGGAAGAAGATCCGTATTCACGAGGTGCGTACAGTGGGTATCGATTGGGCACTCTGGAAGAACACACGCAAGCCTTGGCTACGACCGAGTGGGAGGGACGGTTGTTCTTTGGTGGAGAAGCCACGCAATCTGGTTGCGAGGGTAGTGTCCATGCTGCCTTGAATAGCGGTGAAAGCTTGGCAAAAGATCTACAAAATGTCATCACAGAAAAATCCCAGCGCTAAATAGCAACAAGCAGATGAGAACCAGACTATAGACTAGAACATTTTCTGGAGATACAGTGGTCCTTTTTACGAGAATCAAGCAAAAGTGCTCGCTCGATTCCGTTTTTCAGCTAGTTCATCACGAAATCGACGTCCTGTGCATAGTACCGGTACTATGAACAGTACATCGGACGTGATGCAGCCACTGGTTGGAATAGTCTTCATTTTGGAAGACGGCAACAGCAGCAACAGCAGAACCACAACAACAACGAGTGACGGCAAGGAAGGCACCAGCGAAGAAGGCTCGGCAGGTGGACGGTAAAGGCAAGGAAGGCAACAACACGGCTCAGCAGGTGGATGGTGTACAAGATGATAACGTGCAAGCCATGTTATTAAAATAGAATCTTAATACAGTTATGGAATGCTGGTTGCACTCGTCTTTCTTGCTTTTTTGGGGGCTACTTACCTTCTTCAGTCTTTGTTAGAGTTCTTTTTTGTGGAAATGGCAGGTGGACCATGCGTTGATCCTCCTTCAACAACACCAATTGGATTTGCTTCTTTTTGTGAGATTCTCATGACTTTAGCATGTAGGTTGTGTAGGCCTTCAAACAGTGCATCATGTGACTCAACTGAATTGACTTGTTCGAGAATGTCCCCAACAAGGGGAGAAACACTAGCAAACAGAGCACCCGGAAGTCTTAGGGTTGCTTTGATTCTATCTTGCCTGGCCAATTCTGCTGCTTCTCGAAGGTCGCCATTTTGGAAAGCTGCATCATCTTCATCAGTGGTATCGGAAGTGTCATCCATTGTTTCACTGTCATGTTGTGTGATAGCACATGCAGCATGCTGCTCCATGACATTTTGCCCAATTTGTCGCTGGATCTCTGGAAGATTTGTTGTCAAAGTGGTGATATTTTCTGGTGAACAAGGCGTGTGACCATGGTGTTGGGAATTTCCTTTCTGTTGGCGAGGCAGGAACCATCGTTTATTGCATTCACTCCAATATATTAAAAAGGAATGGACAGCGAACACTGACATTTTTTACAGGCCGCTGGGTGTTAGGCACACGCTGATGATCCTGGCTTGATTCTCTGGGTGTTGATTTTTCTTTGGAACATGAAATCATCCGCGTTGACAAATGAAGGTAGCACTTTTTCTTGCTTTCTCGTAGCCCTTAATTCTTACAACAAAGCCAGCAGCACGAGACGCTTCTGCAAAATATGGTGAAAGAGTTTTGGTCCGAAACTCGGGAGTATTGATAGAGAATTCCCTTGGAAGCCAGTACACAGAAGCAATGTTGGGCTCTGATCGATTGCGAGTGTTGTGACCAAGTGTGGGAATGAGATTGATTTCCTTTTTCTCTCCATCATCTTTGAGAGAGTTAGCAATTTGAATGATTACAGGTGGAGACGACCATACGTCTGCCTGTGAGATAGCAGGAGAGAGTTGATCATCATCTTGCCTGAACGAAGAGGACATGGTTGATGGTATGGTATTGCTGGAAATGATGGCCCCAGATCTTTTTGGGGTGTGCTGTGGCCGAAAACCGCGAAACTCGCAGATTTACTACACCGGTACCGATACAGGTATGACACACTAGTATGCATACGGTAGAGTGGGGCCACCCCCTGTACCGGTACTAAATCCAGTACTACATGCAGTAGTACGTAGCAGCTGTACTAGCTAGTACCGACCCGTGTTTTGAGGAGTCACGGATTTGGGGTGATACCCGAGATCCTGGGATCTCTCGAGATCGAAGGGGTGACCATGCAAGATCCACGACCACATCCGTTTGTTAAATGCTGGTGCACCGGTACTGCTGGAAGCAAGTCTTAAAAAAAAAGACTACATACATGTACAAGTACCAACAGGAATGGTTGGTTCAGCAAACAATCACGCAAACAATCACGCAAACAATCACGGATGGGTGCGCTCGGAGGCTTGATACAAGGGCACAGAGGCTTGATACAAGTCTAGCTTGCCAGAGCTAGAGGACTCGACTCTTGAATTTGCTTTCATCGTAGATTCCCGATGATCAGATTGTTTTTAGCAGCTGTGAGCGTCACAGAGCCGAAACCAGTACTCGAGTAACGTTCTCGGAGCGACCCTGATGCAATCCCAGTCCACTGCTAAAAGCACAGGCAGTAAAGTCTTTGTAATATATATTGTTTGCTTATTAATATAATGCATTTTATGCCAATGGAGCACAGGGAGGATGCAGTCGGCTCAAACCGTAAAAGTTGTGTCCTGCAATAATCAATCCTTCCCCATTGTGTTGCCCGCACTGGCAGGCTTCTTCGAAGCAAGCCATCATTTGATCGACACATCCCAACATGAGGTGGATGTTGCCAATCAAGTTGAGGAGCTTGCAGATGGATGCCATGGTGGCATCGCGTTCTTTTTGGGCATCGGCACCATGCTGGGCCATGACCATGCGTTCAATTTCCAAGGCTTCTTGAAAGTACTCGACAGCCTTTTCCAATTCCCCACGTTCTTGGTGCATCTGACCCAAGTGTTGGAGGGTCAAGGAGATTTCGGGGTGCTTCTCTCCCAAGGCACGTCGTTCCACACGAAGGGACTCGCTGTAGAGCTTCATGGCAGTCTGATCTTCTCCCTTTTCCAAGTAGATGGTGGCCAAGTTGTACCACATGACGGCAATGTCACGGTGATCGGCTCCCAAGATGCGCTTGCGAATGTCAAGACACTCCAAAAAGGCATCCTTGGCATGATCAAAGTCATCCATCTTGAAGCGAACCAGTCCAATCGAGTTGAGTGTGGCGGCAATGTCCATGTCATGGGTGCTGTTGCTGGATTGGTTGGCACGGTGCACACGAAGTGCTTCTTCGTAAAAGTTCAAGGAGACGCGGTAGTCCTTGATCAAGTACTTCATCAAGGCCATGCTGCTCAAGGTAGTAGCAACTTCCATGCTGTCGGGTCCAAATGTATCCAAGTGGATGTTGTAGACTTCGCGGTAGACCTTGAAGGCGGTGGCGTAGTCACCCTTTTGTTTGTGAATCTGAGCGACATTCAACAAGGAAATGACAATGTGTGGGTGATGGGGCTCGAGGAACTCGCTCTGGATGGTGACGCATTCCACGTAGTACTCGAGTGCTTCATCGTATTGGCGGAGTTCGTAGCTGAGGCTTCCCAAGTTGTTAAAGATCAATGCCAAGTCTGGATGAGACTGTCCCAATGCGGCACGTCCGCACTGGATGGCTTGCTTGAGCAGGATCTGAGCGGTGGAGAATTCCTTGCGTTCGCGGTGAACATCGGAAAGCAAGACCAAACCGGCGGCAAAGTCGCGGTGTTCCGTGCCCAACTGCACTTGCGCCGTTTCGAGGAATCCGCGGTAGTAAGTCATGGCCGCTTCGAGATTGCCGCAACGATGGTGGGTCTGTCCGACATTGAACATGGCCGTGGCGATATCGACCGAGTGTGCCTCGAGGACCCATTGGCGAATGGCCAAAGATCGTTGGAACAACTCGAGTGCCTTTTCGTAGTCGGCGCGCAAAAAGTAGACGCGTCCAATGTTGCTCAAGACCGTGGCGACTTCCTTGGTGCAGCAGCTGTCCGCATTGTTGGCGTTGCTGCTGCTGTTGTTGTTGCTGGTGCTGCCCAAGACGGATGTGTAACTGGCCAATGCAACTTGGAGGTAGTCCAATGCCGTGTCGGATGGTTCCGAAGGATGAGACTGATGAAAGCGCAAGACAGCGACACAGTTGTAGGAAGCGGCCAAGTCCAACAAGCGTTGACGACTGTTGGCAGTGGCCATGAGGGTGGTGGAAGTACCCACATTGGAGGCAGCTTGGACGGACATTTGCAGAGCAGCTTGGTAGTGTCCAATGGCGGCATCATTCTCTCCCAAGCGGTAGCAGCAGTTGCCCAAGTTGTGTCGAATGAGAAAGGGACTGACAATGTCCGTGTCGACCACATCTGCAGCCATGTATTCATTTTCCAAGACTTGAAGGGCCAGTTGGAACAATTCCTTGGCTTCTTCGTGTTCGAGGTTCTGCAGGTGTGCTTGTCCCAAGTTGTAAAGCAGAGTGGCTTCCATGCGGATGCGGGATTGCGTTGCGGTGACGGCGAGAGGAGTGGAGTACATGTACATGCCTTCATCGTAGCTTTCGCGTTGGTAAATGTACAAGGAGCGGTTGGGCTCGGCTTGAACCTTCTGTTGCTTGGAAGCCACCGAGTTCTGAAGCAACGCAACGGCATTGCCGCTGCGCTGTTCACTGACGAGTGGAGCGTACTTTTGAAGTTCCAAGAGGGAAAGAGCAAAGGATCGCTTGGCTTCTTCCTTCTTTTGTTGGACCAGACAAGCGCAGGCGATCTTGTTCATCATCATGACGTGTTCGCGGCCGGCATCGGCTTCGAGAGAGCGAACAATGTTCCAGTTCCAGCAGTTGGGAAGAAGAGGAGGAGTGTTGACGTTGCTGTTGGAAGAATGATGGTGACAATGTTGGTACAGACGAGAGGAAGTCATGGGAGAAGGAGAGCAGTCCACATCCATGGAAGTGGGGCCGTTGTTGCTCTCTGGCTGTTGCTGTTGATACCGAGCCAACTTCTCGGAAAGAAAGTCGCTGCTGCATGCGGTAGAACCAAAGTCAATCAAGGAAGGAAGAGGAGAGGAAGTGTTGGACAAGTTCGTGCTGTGAAGAGGCTTGGCAGCCATGGCGGCGCTGCTGTGTGTTTTGGTGGCGTAAGTACTCATGGTGGTAGATATAGTGTTTTGTATTTGTATCTGAGCTTTGCAGGTTGGCGAAGATTGTATTTTATGAAGGTATGATGTGGAGGTCGAGCGAAAGAGAGACCTTTGATGGAAGTAATCGATGGAGTCAGGCCGATCAACAGTGCACAGCAAAAAGCCAGCTTGTGGGATTTTTTTGGCCTTCCATGGTAGTTGTTAGACACTCTAGCTAGCTAGACAAAGAGGCACAACAAAATTTTGTCCATTCTACGAGTACTGAGTAATCACCATCTACCAGTAGTATCATAATATCAGATCAGATACCGTTTTACATGCGGTCTAGAATTCTATCTAACACTACCCCTTTTTTCCTTACCGGTATAACCTTGTAGCTTAAAACCTTGTCGTTGAGTGCCCCAGCCTGATACCGGTACGGTAGATCCACCACGTGTGACAAAAAGAGCCGCAACATACTATTCACTTCGGACTTCGGACGGCGGCTTGTTGGGGGAATGAATCCTAATCGCAAATAACAGGCGCAGACGTGTACGTCATAAACTCAATAATAAGAAACCTCAGTACTGGAGCTTTCTTACCCAACTGCTCTATTTTGCTACTCATTTTATTTCTAACAAAACAAGCCAATTTCAGTATAGAAGACTTTCTTACTAAGCTTCTAGATCAAACAGGTTAGTGTTTAGATATGTTAGTGTTTAGATACACACAGTGCACCTGGCCCTTTTGCTCCAACTTGCCCAGGACTCTTAATTGGTTTGGGACAAGTAAGAGTTTTAATGGTGATCACTGTCTCTGCTTGAGGGGAAAACTTGCAGGTTTAGGCTCAAGTTTGTTGGAGTAGTTTATGGTGTCAGACTAGTAGTATTTCTTGTGCTTTGAGGTCTCAAAATACTGGGATGTTTTCTTACAAGTCTGTGATCTTTCAGTATTTCTTCTCTGTCTAAATTTCTGAGTACTCTCTTTCTTGTTACACGGTTCTTAACTTCAGGTTTGGAGTGCCCATGACATTTTGAGAGCTGTGAATTCTATTTCAGAAGCTGTCCAGTACAGCTGTACGGCTCCATTACCCAGTTTGGGTGGAACGACAAAAACAAAACAAAAATGCGAGAAGGGTAGTCCGAGTCTGTCCGATTCTCAGAGGCTGTACTAAGACTAGATAATGGGTCCTCCGAGCTGGATCGTAGACAGTGAACGTTCGTATAAAAACAGCCTTCTCATTATGCTGGTCTAGCTCTGGTCTCCAGTCAGTTGGTCCGAACAATAATTCTACTGGGACCGTACGTTGCACCCAGCTTTCTTACAGAGCTCTTGCGGGAGAACAGAATAGCTACTAGTAACAGAATGCAAAGCTCGTGGGTCTTGTTGTTGTTATTGCGAGTAGCGTCTCATACGCTGTACGCTCAACGGCGACACCAACAGCTCACAACAGCTCTCACAACACAATCATCTCACCACTTTTAGATGCCAGGAAGTGAAGTTGTATGATTTTGTCAGCAAACCACTGTGCACATGGGGGAGTGTGGATATAGGGTTGGTATGGCCGACATCTTTTCTAGACGAGACATTGGAGACATTGGCTGGGTCGAGCCAGCAGTCGAGCCATGGACGAGACTTTGGTGACATTGGTCGAGAAGCCGGCTGTCCCATGGTGGTTCTTAGCTAAAAGCCATTGTTCCACTGTGAATCGAATCACCGCAGTAAAACATGTTCATAGTAGAAATGAAGTTGGTTGTTTGCACAGCAGTAACCACGCAAGGTCCAGTCCCAGTCCCAGCGTTTCCAAGGTAGTGAGATAGTAACAAAGCTAGCATATATTCCACATGGATGTGAACCCTCTTCTGCGCTCTCGTCTTCTCCCGTGTCTTACCAGTGCTAATACTTGTAGCTGCTGGATTGAGTGTCGCATGTCACCTACCGGTAGCTAGCTGCCGGCTCTGGAGTAGCTGCTGGCAGCCTCATCAATCATCCCGCGGATCCAGCTTCCCTGACCCACTGAATACATCACGTATACCGTATACCGTATACCGGTCCCTGCTGGTGCTCAAGAAGTGGTGCTGGGGTCCCATCGGCCCAAAGAACTAAAGCCACCGCCACCAATTGCATCCATCCAACAACCACTGTCGAGAGCAAAACCCACGCCCCATCCCTCCTGCCACCTGTGAGCTGTCTACTGTCCACTCCCCAGTCCTCAGTACGACTAGTACTCGAGCAGTCTACCGGGTACATGTACCGTACCAGGTACAGAGGGTTGCAAGTTTTAAAGCTTTGTTCTCCCTCCAGACACTGACAACTACAGTACAGCTGGGTTCAAAATCAATCTTGTGTGACCGAATTCGATAAAAGGAGTGAGTCGAGTCACTCAGCTCTCAGCTCTGTCCGAACTCGGAAGGTGTGGTACATACTACAGCTATTACCGTACTTATTTGCCAGGTGTTTTGCTGCAGTGTTCAGTCTCGCTTTTGTTTTTGTTTTTTGTTCTGGCATGGGGGCAGTTCTGCCACCAATCCATCACTGGGGACAAAAATTAATGACAAAATAAATGACTCCATGGCTGAATCGAGGAGCTATCGAGGTGGCATTCTTTTATTGCATACACTCATAGAGGATTAATAATCAACGACTCAAGTAAGAAGAGGCTCTTCTTGTGACCTTCGTTTCTGAGCTGGCCACCCCAGCTTTTTACGGTAAAAACATCCCGGTTATGTTCTTGCTGGTTTTAATACCGTCCTTTGTATTGGAGAGCTCGTTTGTCTTGTTGGGACAATAGTTTCTGAGAAGATGTTCGTGGAACATTCAGCTACGACTCGACGACTCGCTCAAAAACTCTCACGCAAAACCAAGGACGGCATCTACTAGTCTACCGTACTACTAGTAGTACTGTACTCGTAGCTCATGCTCATGGTTGCCACATCCGCAATGAGATAATCCATTGACGAACCGATCGGATCACAAGTTTCGGCTACACGACCATCCTCCCTGCCACCTCCCAGTCCTCCCAGCACGGGCAAGTACTGGTTCAGCAGCAGCCAAACCACTGGAACTTGCCTTCTTGGTTGCCAACTTGCGAATAGGCTTCAGAGTGCAAAGCTGAAAGCTGCCAGTGCGCATTCAATCTCATTTCAAATTAGCTAGACTATCGTTCTGATGCCGCTAAGGGACTCACCGAGGAGGAGTGACAGTCGAGTGACTCAGTCACGCACTCCTGTGTGAGCAACAAGCAAGCAAAGCTGCGTCCTCCCACCGCCGACTAAGTACCAAATAAGCAAGGGAACTACTGTACCAGGTAGACTAGACTCTAGTAGGCTCGGACAATCAGTCAGTTGAAGAATTGTCGGGTTCTCTGGTGTTGGTCGGACTCATCTGAGGCCAGCAGAGAGTGTGGATTCGGAACAATGTACCATAGACCACTCCAGGTAGGAGCCCAGGTGGGTGGGCTGAGTGGGGTGGGATGTACAGGTGTGGTGTAAGTTTAGGTCCTTTTCAAAGAGGGTTGTTGAGATGTGGCCCTGATTAAGGGTAATGGTGAGGTCCAGGAAATGAACTCGGTTGGACAGTGGGTTGGCCTACTGAAAGAGCAACAATTGGTTGCTTCTCCTCTCTCTCTCTCTCATCGTTTGTTTCATGCAGTCAACATCACCCAATCCTCGAGCTGTAACTAGGATTGACACGAAGGCTGGATGCGTTGTGACGGCCATCCCGCAAGAACAATAGGTTGGCCGACATGAAGCGTGCAGTCGTTTCTACCTCCGCGACTGTGGGTGCCCTCGCAAAGACCAATGCGGCCTGGGTCGTTGGGTAACAGAGAGCTGAACGACAGCAAAAATTTTTCCTTCGAAAGTCGGCTAAAATTGATGTATCACACCATTTCCAATTTTATTGAATCTGATGATAAAATCGTGATAAAAGCTCTCCAAATCTGGTGATGAATTTATCACCTGGTTTCGAATGATTGATCATTCAATCTGTGATAAATAAATTGATTTTATCACTTTGTTTAGACTAGACTACATGTATTCGAAACCAGGATAAATTTCGAATCCGGGGATAAAATCCAGATCCTTTGATAACCGCTGGTAACGGTCCAGTCAGTTTACCCAACGACCCTGCGTGCGTTCAAGCTCGTGTTCTTGGAGTCGCTCAGTCGAGTCGAGTCCACTCTCACTCGACTCCACGCCATCGGCAAAATTAGTAGTCAACTACGGACACTTCATAATCTGAAGCAGCCAAAGGACGAAACGACTGTGCTCATCGATCATAGCTATTGCTCAAACGTCGCTCCAAAATGCGCATCTCTTTGATTTCGACTACGTTGCACTTGTTCGTTCTCGTCTCCTGTTTGCCCGAGGCGTCGGCATGGGATGCCTTGAACGATGCGTGCGAGTGGCTTGGAAACGTGTACAACTCCTACTTTGTGCCAAAACAATCTGAATGTCAGCGCTTGACTCTCCAGGAATGTTCATGTTTCGAGGTTCTCCAGACGAACTCCTTTCGCGTCAAAGGACAACCCGTCAATGCTGGCGACTTGAAGAAAGGGTATCGCCTAGCGGCAAAGTTCTACCACACTGACAAAGGTGGGAAAAACGAAGACTTTTATTTCGTGGATGCCTGCTATTCCCTTTTCAAGGAGGACGCTGTAAACATCGAGGCCTACCAGGTACACCTCCAAAAGCTCGAGAAGCGCAAGCACGTGGAGCAGTGGGGTGAGGACAAGTTCCGTGACCGCATTGATCAATTGAATGAGATGATGCTCACGGGGGCTTTGCCGAAAGTGATCAAAACGCGGACGCCTCCACCCGGAATGGATGATCCTCAGATTGATCGGCTGTTCTTGGTACTGGACAACTCTGGGTCCATGTTTGGAGGAGCCTTGGAAATTGGCAAAGAGGAAGTGAGCTTGATTGAAGACCGAGTCGAACGGACGCCAACCGAAGTCCACTTTATTGGATCACCCTCGAACGTGAAGTTTCGGTTCGAGGACAACCCATCCGTTGACGATATTCTAGCCGAATGGAATGCACAAGGCGGAGGTACCCAACTGTGGGAATACGTTTTCAACGTGCTCCTCGGCAACAAGCGGCCTCCCGGAGCAGAGATTGACGAAGTTGTCATCATTACGGACGGTTGGGACAATGGGTCGAAGGGCGCATTTTCCGGCATCGAAGGCTTCAATGAGATGATGACTCAACTCATTGCAAATGGCATTCGCTTGAGAATCTCCGTTTTGTGCATTGGGAATGAAGACATGTGCAAAGTGTCCCAGTATCGCGATCTCGCTCGGTCGACGGGGGGCACGTATAGCAGCATTGACACGGCAGACGAAGAACCCGTTCGAAAAGAGCGTCTCCGTGGTTTTGCTCGTCATATCACAGCTTCCAATGCGAAGCGAGCCCAGCTCGATCTTGAAGCCAAGGCAGAATATGAACAAGACCTCATTGCTGGTACCGCCACGGAGCTCACATGGTACCCAGGATTGAAGAAGCTCATCGCGGACGCTGCGGAAAGTGGCGCGCACGAGACGAACCAAGCTGGCAAGAAGGCGGAGACGGAAGGAGTTCAGAAGGGATCTCGGCTTGACACCATTATGATCTGATTGAATCATTCGATTCGAGTTCATTACCTAGCTCGGCGAATAGCATCTAGAATGGGTGTAGTACGTGATGTCGTTGTTTCCAAATAAATGCAGTCTATTGATATGCAGCCACACCGGCAGATGATGCGTCTCTTCGCTTACTTTGATACCTATAAACAACCAATAATAGAATCAATCATCACGAAGCACTGTCGCTCTCCTTGATCGTATAAAATTTTAATGCATTTGTCAAAATGATCCCAACAAACTCTTCATTTATCTTGGCTCTTGTTGTCGTTTGCCATTATTATTTATCCTCTTGCATTCCCAGCAACCTTGGTGCTGGTCGCACCAGTCATTGTTATTGTTGTGTTTTTCTAATCTTGGTGTTTTCAATGTTCATTTGCTGTATTGTATTTTTTTACATTTCGATTCCAAACAGTGCGAATACCTTTTGGGCAATGAGAAAGTATGCCATGAGTCCGGCCACGTCGACAAAACTGGTCATGGCAGGTGCCGCAATGACACTGGGATCGAGCCCCATTGCCACACACGCAAACGGAATGGCGGATCCCAACGTGGCGGCAATGGTGGATACCAAGGGCAATGTCAAGAATATCACGACCGAAACATGATAGGAAATGCCCATGACGTAATGGACGGTCGGTGCCACTCCCATACTGAGCAGAATACCGCCCAATGCTCCCGCCAACGCTTCTTTGGCAACGACCCGGGGCGCATCTTTGAGGGTGACGCATTTGGCCGACATGGCCGACAAGACAGTTCCCACCGTTTGTCCACCCGTGTTGCCACCGTGACCGGCCAAGAGTGGGACAAAGTAGGCCAGTTCGATTTGTCGCTCGAGCGTGTGTTCAAACCCATTCATAATGACGGCCGTAAAGGACAGAGATACCAAAAAGAGTGCCAACCACCCGACGCGAGACAGTGCCATGCTATGAAAGGATTGTGTCAGATACTGCGACACTTCATCTTCCGACAATTCAGCACCACCACCATGGCCACCATGAGATACCGAAGGTTTACTGCCTCCTACTTGCTTTTTGAGTCCTTCAATTTCGGCCTGTTGTTTCCGTATGGTTTCTTTTAATTCTCCGAGAACCGACGATGAGGTCTCTTGCGGCGGGGATGCTTTGGGTGCCATGGTAACCGCTGAAGTGATGGTAGATTGTAGCAATGACGATGCTTGTTGTGGCTTGAACAATGCTGCAGCGGGAGAGATGCAGAGCAAGAGGATGAAATAATATTTCCTGGCGGTACTGATACCACTGATTCGACGCATGAAAAGGCTGCTCTTGTTCTTCTTCTTGTTTTGCCGTATACAAAATTCTGTCTTCCGCTAGTTGTGCTGTTCTCGCTAGCTAGTCAGTCTTGAGTTGAGCCAAAGGAATTCTCGTTGTGGTGATATTGTCTTGGCGATGATGAAAATGAATGCTTCTACTTGATCGTTTGATGGTTCTTGGCTCCCACACGGTACCTCCAGTTGTTTCTTCAAAAAATGGAACCTTCCGAGTGGAGTCGAGTCCACAAGAGATTAGTGGTGATGGCTGAGCTTCTGAGGTTGGTTGGAGTGATGCAAGGATGCGGAACAGGAGCAACAGCAAGTGATGATGTGGAGCTTCAACGTTCGGAACCTTCGACGTGGCTTTTCCCAAAAGCGTCAGGCCTATCGCACACCTGCTCTTTAAAATGAGTATAAAGCCGTTGAGCTGTCTAAATCAACTTTGAACCGCAAATCTCCATCTCTCTTCTTCCAGCACACAACCGCAACCATCCAACAGATACCGGTACCAGTAGACTAGACTACCAATGGCATTCTCTCGCTCCCTGTGTAGTTGTGTGGCCTGATAGATAGAAGTGCAATGGAATCAGCAGCAGCAGCAGCAACACCCGAAAGACAAGAAGAAGAATGGATCGAGTCGCCGGATGGTTGGGACGACAAAAAGCCCACAACGGACAGTCCAGAAGAGGAGGAAGAAGGAGCGTTTGTGGATTTCTTTACCAACACTACCAAGAAGGATCCCAAGGATACCTTTACGTTTGAACTCACGGTCCATCCAAGCGATGATCAGGAGAAGGAAGGTGTCACTAAAAAGTTGCTCCAACTGTCGGGCTATACCTTGGACAGTGACGAAACGGCCCAATCCACCGGTGTCACTCTCTGGGACGCAGCCCCTCGATTGGCCAATTACTTGATGAAACGCGAGTCCGCCCAAGAACACATTGTCGGCAGACAAGTTTTGGAATTGGGAGCCGGACTGGGATTGTGTGGGATTGTGGCATTTCATTTGGGGGCATCCCACGTCGTTTTGACGGATGGAGATACGCAAACCCTGCAACAAATGAGAGTCAATGTGCAACAGAATTGTCATGACAGTACCACCACCACCAACAACAACGCTACTATTGACTGCCGACAATTGATTTGGGCATCGTCTCCCACGAAACTCGCGGCCTTGCAAGAATCCCAAGGATTGTTTGATACCATTTTGGGGGCCGACATTGTCTATACAAAAGACAGTTTGGATCCCATGTTGGATACCGTTGTGGCATTGCTCAAGAAACCACATGGTCAATTCGTACTGAGTCGCTATACGAAGTGGAACAATGTGTCCGATCAAGTGGTCCTGGAAGCGGCAGCCACTCGTCATTTGACGTGTCGACAACCACCGGATTCACCAGGCATTTTCGTCTTTTCAATGCCTGAATGAATGAAATCTTGTCTTAGATAGATGCCATCTCCACCAGTAGAAGGGATGCATAGAAACTAGAAAAATTTGTTCGTATGCCGCTTCACTATACAGCATATGGCTTGTTCACAACTATTTATTGATTGTTGATTATGCATAATACATGAATGAGTAAAAAGGATACCGCCAAGATGCCCTTTCACACTCTCTTGCGAAACTAGAACCTGTCTTTTCGCTTGCACAAGGGTACCATACACCTCCACAAAATCCAGACTGTCACCACACACTGCTTCATCTTCTGCTCTCGCGTCCTTCACATATTGCCGTGTAATCCATTTTTCTATTTGACCTTTCGCAAAATCATATCCAGTTTCTCCAACTTTTCATTCTCAATGAGATCCCGATCCAGTGCGTACCGCATGACACTCACGGGTGTTCCACCACTCAGTAACAATCGCAATTCCGGATTCTCCGTGAATCCCTCTTGGAATTCTTCGCGCATGGCATCGTTAAAGACACGATAGACTTCTCCTCGCTTGTTCATGGGTGTCTTGGCCAACAAATCGTTCAAACTGACCACTTCCTTGGCAATCGAGGCAGCAATGGCGGTACCGGTCAGACCGCCCACCACGGCACCGACAGGACCTGCCACCAGGGTACCTCCCATGACACACAATCCGGCCGCCAATCCAGCCTGTGTACTCTTTTGAATAGTAACACGAATTTCGCGTTTCTGAGCAATGTAAATCAAATTGTCATAGTCCTTTTCTTCTTCCGCCGTCAAGGGAGCCTTGAGGCGTTGTTCTTCCAACTTTGCTATTTGGAAATCTTCTTCGGTCATCACGTCCGAATCCTTGGTCGGTTTGGATCCGCCACCACCACAGCAGCACCAGAAACACATGTTGTTCTCAACTCTTCTAGTATTTGATGGATGGATGGATGTATTTGTTCTTTGGTACCGCCTATTTCTTTGGTACCGCCAATTCAGGAATTCCTCTTCAAAGCCTGAACTATGGGCAACCAAGAGATCACTGATTGATCCCTCGTCGGATAGATTCCTCCTTAGCCGAGCCTGCTGGTACCATACCGTACACCGTACCGATGATCCTACCTTGCTTGTGCTTCCTTCCGTTTGGGCTCAAAGATGACCAGTGAGCATCAAATCCAACGGGTCGCCAAATCTGATTCTTGGTGTTCCGAATGATGCAGTCTTGACCTTGCCAGTTCACTTTGAACTTTCAGCATCTTCACAGGCTTTGATCCAAAAGTGACGGTGGTACTTGTCATTGGGAAAGGGTGGAGCGGTACCACTAGCTAGAATGCCTCCCAAGCTATTGCTACTTGCTAGATTATCTACAAGTAGCTAGGTCCAAGTTGGTACAGAGAGTGTGTGCACCTGCATGTGCCTGGTAATGAAAAATTGGGAGCAGATGTAGAAAAGAACTGCAGGCTCCCAACCACTGGACATCAAACAATGGATTTGCTGGTTGATCAGAGCAAGTCCGAGCAGTCTGGGGAGGAAAGTAGTTGTAGCCAGCTTCAATATTGCTGTTACTTCACAGGATGTCCTTTCATTCAAAATAGTAAAAGTTAGTTATAAATTACGTTCCTGGTGGCTTTAACTATGCATACAAACAAGGTCCATTCAACGTCATTTTTCGTTTTTGTCACGCTATCCCTCCATTCATTGTTGCCATTTGCCACAAAACACGCAGCCACTCTTTTCCTATTTTTTTTCTTCTCTTCTACTGGCCCATCATTGAGGCACCCAAGTTGACACGATCCAAAAGACTGGGTCCACTGACACCGCCATCAGCACGCAATCCATGATCAGCTTCCTTCACAGCCTCAGCCTCACTCGTTGGTGTGGTGGTACTGGCACTCAATTGCGCCTGGGCCATTTGAACTTCCCAGGCACCCCAGCGGGATTTTCCAGCAGCGGCCGCCGCTACGACACGCATGTTGCGCTTTTGGTATAGGGCATCGTTAACTTCAACTTGTGCCGTCTCGGCAGCTTCGGCTCCCATGGCAACTCGTTCGGCCAATGTCAATCCACCCACTCCACCATCATTTCGAAGTCCATGATCGGCCTCTTCTACTTTGGCAGCCATTACAGGTGGTGACTCGGGGGCCTGTTCAGGTGCTGCTTCGAGAAGTGTCACCGGAGGCGCTGGAACTGGTGGCTGCTGCTGTGTATTGTAGTTAGCCATTTGAACTTCCATGTCACCCCAGCGAGCTTTGCCAGCGGCCGCCTCTGCCGCCACACGAAGGTTGCGCTTTTCGTAGAGATCTGTTGCAACTTGTGCCGTCTGGGCAGCTTCTGCCCCCATGGCAATTCTTTCGGACAATGTCAATCCACCAACTCCACCATCGTTGCGAAGTCCATGATCGGCCTCTTCTACTTTGGAGGCCATTACCTCTGGTGAATCCACAGGCTGTTCGGGTGCCGCGTCGAGAAATGTCACGGGAGGTGGGGAAACTGGTGGCTGCTGCTGTGTATTGTAGTAGGCACGTTGGAGTTCCAAGTCACCCCAACGTGCTTTTCCAGCGGCACCCGCAGCAGCCAAACGTTGATTGCGTTTGCCGTAAATGACCGTCTTGGGTACTACTGATGGATCCATGCCATTGACGGTGGGTGCTTCTTCCACAGCTGGCGCCTCCTCGACAGGTGGTGGGACTTCTGGTTCTTGTTTGAGAGCGGCAAAAATGGCTTCTTGGGCTTTTTGTGATTCCTTGGTCCCCCAGCGAGATTTTCCGGCGGCAGCTGCTGCTGCCACGGTTTCAGTTCGTTGGGCATAAAGTTGTTGGGCAGGAGTCTCTGTGATATCGTTCATGGCAGGAATGACATTGGGTTCCGGAGCTACTGGTTCTGGAACTACTGGCTCGGCAGCTACTGGCTCCTCGGCTACCGAAGCTACTGGTTCTGTAGCTACTGGCTCTGCAGCTACTGGCTCCGTAACTGCCGGTGCGGGTGCTGCAGCCACAGCTTCCTTGTATTTCTCTTCGACGGCATCCAACACCTCCTGAACTGCCTTTTGTTTTTGTTCCTGAGCATTCACAATGTAGTTGGCCATCCAATTTTGGTACTGTCGGACGGCGGCAATGAGTTGTTCCTGGGAGAGGCTTTCCAAATTGGGATCCACGATGGGTGCCACATCGGAAGCAGGTGGGGGTGGTGTTTCGGGAATTCCCTGCTGTGCTTGGGCCAGCTGTGCTTTTAAGGCTTGGATTTCGGCATTTTTGGTGTCTTCTGCTGCCTTGATGGCTCTCAACTTTTCTTCGTGAGCTTTGGCCATGTATTCACTCAGTGCCGACGGAGACTCGGCAGGTGGAGGTGGATTGGCTTGGGCCGCCGCCATGCCTTCCAGCTTTTGGGCTTCGGCCAGTTGCATTCGGAGGGCTTGAATCTCACCATTTTTCTTATCTTCGGCTGCCTTGATGGCCTTTAGCTTTTCTTCGTGAGCTTTGGCCAAATATTCACTGAGAACGGCGGCACGCTGCTCTTCTGGTGTGGACATGAAGAGACTACTAGAGGAGGAGGAATGGTGGATTTTAGTAGTGGCAGAGGATGGTACCACAAATCCTGTCACAGAGGAAGGAGCCGTCATGCTGACACCCAGCAGAAAGGAGCCAATGGCAAAGGAAGAGAACCTCATGATGCAACACAAATCTTGCTTGCTTGCTTGCTACAAGGTCAGATTGGATACTGATATGAATGAGAAGAAAAGATAGGAGAAAGATCCAAAGGGCTTTCTCTCTCTCTCTCTCTCGCACTCTCTGGAGGGGAATGAATGAATGAATAGCCGAATGAATAGCCACAGCCTCCACAACAGCAAGCCAACCCACAACACAACCAATGGCGACAGCCAACAAAAGATCGTCGCGTGGGAAAAGCAAAAAACGTATGTGCGCCGAAGAGAACGAGGTCCATTCGTTGGACAACTTAAACCAGTGGAGCTGTGAAAGCCAAACAATGACGGACCGGTCAGCATTTCAACAGCTGATGCATGCAACAGACTTCAATTCGTGCGGGAGTAAGATCTTTGTGGATCTTGGCTCCAATGCGAACTATTAATTTAAAAATATGCCAACTCGTGCCGCTGCGTCGTGCTCTTCGACGGATCTTTTCTTCCGATGCCATGCATGTTCAATGGCTTCTTCATCATTTCAGAGGTCTCGGCTCCAAATCCATAAAATCAAAAGCAAAATATAGATCTACGTTGTTGTGCTATAATATATATGAAAAGCATATTACAAGCTCTAGTCGGCGTGATTGGGATATTCAACCAACAAAATCATTATCATACAAGTACAACCCAAAAAATAATGGAAAAACTCGAGGTCCAGTTCCCTGCCGGTGGCGATGTCAAGGAGGATACCCTGTCCGGGACATTTTACCTGCCTCCCAAGAAGGACCAGAAATTCGCCGCTGCCTTGGTGATTCACGGCTCGGGTCCCATTGATCGTGATGGCAATGCAGAAATGATGGGTGGTTGGATGAACATGAATATGAACACACACTGTCGATTGGCCGAAGAATTGGTGGGACGCCCCGAGCAGCCAATGGCGGTATTGTGTTACGACAAGCGTGGCATTGGAAAATCCATTAGTAGTACCAAACCGAATTGGTACTACGAAGCTGGCATGCTGGATCTGGTACAAGATGCCGTGCAGGGATACCGCTATCTGGTGCAACAACAAGAAGCAAATGTTGACAAGACGCAAATCTTTTTAATGGGACATTCGGAAGGTGCCATTTTGCTGCCGCTGATTGCCGAAACGATTGCCAAAGACGAGACATTGCCAACACCCAAAGGACTGGTCTTTTTGGCTGGTTTTGGAGAAGCCTTGGACGAAGCAGCCGGCAATCAACGCGAACGAGCTCTAACTGAAGTGGCCGTCGAAACAGGATTGCAAGGATGGGTTTTGCGAAAAGTAATCACCCGGGAAAAAGTCGACAAACAATACAAGGATTTTATGGAACAGGTACAAAACAAGGATCAATCCTTTTATTCGCAATACTTCGGTCTGGCCAAGGTCCCCACCAAATGGTATCGAGAACACATGGAATGGGATGCTCATGCATCGCTGCAAAACTGTCCCTTGCCCTGTTTAGCCATTACCGGTGCCAAGGACGTGCAAGTGCGACCGGAATTCTGCGACCCCGAGGCGGCCAAGACATTGGCCCCCAGCGCAGCCTCGTTGGAAACCCACGTTGTTGCCAATATGACGCATATTCTCCGATCCATTGAAGAGCCGCCTTCCATGCTCAATATGCAAAAGGTGTATGCCAAACTGGGCAAGCAACCATTGGATCCTGAACTTTTACAGATTCTGCATGCGTGGCTCACCAAACAGCAACAGCAAGCATAAAGAGAGTGCGCTAAAAAGCAACTCAGAATGCGAAACATAATTATTTGTCGATTCGATTCTTCCATTGTGGACCAAGATGATAAGTGCTCTTGGTTTTTCCTCTGAGACTGCCTGCTAAGACACTCATGTACCTCATGTAGCAGGTCCATGAGGGAAGGAATCTCCTTATAAGGAGTTCTTTAGAAAGCAAAACTGCATATGGGTATCGTACCAGCGCTTCTTGCTCAAAAGTTTGATACAGTGGTAAAACAAGTAATCACGACGTGTGAAACCGCAGCTTCTTTCTCCTACTGTACATTGCTCCACAGAGGTTATTATAATGTACCTTGTAGCTTGATTTGGGTTTCGTTGTACTACCCACCTTGTCCGCTCAGGTTGTTGTTTTCTTTTTCGAAACGCAATGACTAGATCCCCTCTTGAGGCGGCGATTCCATGACAATTTCGTGGGACAATCCTGCGTTGGTGGCTCCTTCCAGCACCATTTCCAATGTCACGGAAGATCCTTGTCGTCTATTGGAATGTGCCATGAGGAATCTGGCAGCAGTGTTGTCATTGTCATGAGTATGCGAAAGCAATACCTTAACTGTTTCAAAGAGTGGTTGGATGACTTGTGGGACATAGATGAGATCGGATCCCAAAACCAGGCGAATGTTGTTGCTTCCTTGATTATTATCACTGTCATCTGTAAGAATCACATTCTTGTGTGCTTGGCAAAATTCTTTGGTAGTCTCCGTTCCCCAGAGGAGTTGATGACAGGAAATTGTAGTGTTGGTTGATATTGTTGTTGTGTCATTATTTGTATGTTTGTTGGCAGGTTGTTTGGTGTTGTGTTGCACATTGTCCCTCAATTGTTTGAGGGTATCGGTATCCCCATCCGTGAGATACACGTGGGTACTACAGTGGCATTCATCTGCAGTCTTGTTGTTTCTCAACAATAACAAATGATAGGCCAACAATCCACAACGCCCCAATCCGGACCCCAATTCCAGCACCACTTGCTGTTGTGGCGGTTGTTGACTTGATTCCGTGCATGTTTCTTGGCTTGGTGGCGGTGGCTGTAAAAGAGTGGCATGATGTTCCAACAGGTATTCACAGAGATAGTGGGAACATGGCCATAGCGTGAGACCGGTAGAGTTCCAAATTTGCTCTGATTCGGAGGGGAAGCCCTTCAATTCCAAGACAATGTCATCATTATTGCCCGGCAACTGATACGAAAACGAAAACTGTTCCGTGGGAGGCAAAGGCTCCCCTTGCTCTTCGTCTTCGTCTTCGTCTTCAGCTACCACTTCTTTGGAATCTCGCTCCCACCGAATCCAAGCATCAATCCAGGGAGTCTCCATCTTTAATATATATAATATAACTGTGTGTCCCTTACTGTATCCACTCAGTCCTCCCCACGAGTGATGAGGCCAAGAAGGTCAGTCGATTGCGTCGTTGATGAATTCCATTGTCCTTCATTTTCCACGCCTCGCAAGAGACGCCTGACGGAAGGTGACACCCAAGATTTGCCTGCGTCAGCGTCGGACAGTTTAAGACTGCTTCTCAAAGATACGGAGAATTCATTATTAAATCCTCCATCTGACGTCGCTTTGATCCTTTAAATCCGCCGCCTTAAGTACCATCATGGTCAGACAAGACTACAGTATCTGGGGTGTCAACGCAAAAGAGCTTGGAAGCCAAGCAAAGTCACGCCACGCCCTATTAGTACACCACAAAATCACAACTCACTTGAACGACTTTGCTACAACCTTGAGAAAAGAAATTTGAAAGAAACAGTTTCACCATGATGCGCAAAATTGCTCTCCTCCTTCTTGGCCTTTTGGCTCTTGCCACTACCAGCGAAGCATTCCGTCCCCGCCAGCAAGCATTGGCAAAGTCCGCTCCATTCCAAAATGACAACACCCACGAAAAATCGCCCTTGACAACCGCAACCAGCGCCGTCCCACGGGGTGGAGAAATTCTGGGCAAAAACAAGGCCTTTTTCGTCAAAATGCATGCCTACGTTTGCTTCTTCCAAGCCCTTCATTTCACTCTGGAAAGCTGCGGCATCAAGGTCCCCATCATGGGATTGTCGGCGACCATTGCCGATACCGACTTTTCCAGCCCCGGTACTGCCACTGTTCTGCGCATGCTGGCAGCTTTTGTTCTCTTTACTGGATTGATCGAATTGGATTTGGCCGATCATCCCGTCACCCAAAAGAGCTTTTCCATTTACCACGTCGGATTGACCACGGCCACCGTGTTGGGATCTCTGGCTGCCCCGACGGGTCCCATGTCCTACGTGTTGCCCTCTTTGGTTGGATTGTTCCTGGTGTTATCGCTGTTGGCATAAACAATGTACATAACAACAAGTGAGTGTGGTGGGAGAATGATGATGGAAGAGAAGGCAGGGAAGGATTCGACGGTGCCTCCAGAAAGGAAACTGTGTTCTGTATTCATATGGACTTGTGGGTTCCAATGCATCTAGCTAGGAAAATGCTAACTACAATAGTCCGAGGAAACCAGTACTTTTGGCCACTACCGGCACTCTAGTCTAGCTAGTAAATCAAGCACTCTAGCTACCGGTAGCACAGTCGTACCAGCAGGCCATCGGCGCAGTTTCAAGCAATAAGCAATGAACCACGGGATTCTACACGTGTACTTACATCAGATAGTTGCGCCCCACATTTTCAGGGTCAGCTAAGATCCATGACGTCGTCGGCCCGGCCAACCTCTGGAGCCTTTGCCGGTCATTCGGAGGTCCATGCTGCTTGAAATTCATGACAGCTCCGCCCGAACCAACCCCCTGGCCGGTGTTTCAATTCTACTGGTAAAGACCAATACGACATTGCAGGTTCCCGTGACTTCATTGCTTCACGCTGCCTAAAAGCTGGCCGCGTGTCATCAAAACAAGCTGTCTACACACCACTATCGAATAATCCGTATCAGTCATTATTAATTTGTTTAGTTCTAACGAAAATGTAGGTGCCAGTGGATCAGGACTGATCCAATGCGATTCGATTCTGCTTTTACTTTTCCTCAGCGACAACAGCTTCTTCCTCGACAAATGAATCATCATCAGGGGGGCAGGTAGGACCGCAGCTGCCACCATGGGGCTGAGCCAACCTGGGGGCTTGGACAGGAGCAAGACCAGGCTGGATCACGCCTTGATGGCCTCCACCATCTGATCCACAGCATCTTCCAAGTCACTACCAGCAGTAGCTTCTTCAGCATCAAAGGCATCATCATCAGGAGGGCAAGTGGGACCACAGCTGCCACCATGGGGCTGACGGAGCTGGGGAGCAGGAGCAGGGACAAGATCTTCTTCCTCTCAACTTCTTCTTCTTCTTCCATGGCATCAAGTTCTTCAAGGCATCATCATCAGGGGGACAGGTAGGTCCGCAGCTGCCACCATGGGGCTGGAGAAGCTTGGGGGCTGGGGCTGGGACAAGGTCTTCTTCTCTTCAAGCCTTCCCCCAGCATCATCATCGGGAGGGCAAGTGGGGCCACAGCTTCCACCATGGGGCTGAAGAAGCTTCGGGGCAGGAGCAGGGACAAGTCTCTTCCTCGACAAGTTCTTCTGTGGCATCATTCAGGGGGCATGGGGCCCAGCTACCACCATGGGGCTGACGTAGCTTGGGGGCAGGGACAGGGACAAGGTTTTCTTCTTCTTCAAGTTCTTTGATGGCATCCAGTTCTTCTTCTGTAGCATCATCATCAGGAGGGCAGGTGGGCCGCAGCTACCATGGGGCTGAGAAAGTGGCTTGTACAAAAGGGTAGGCATGATAGTGGGAGCAACTGTAACAATGCCTTCAGTTGGGGCAACAGTAGGAACTTCAACCACGTCAACCATATCCTCCTTCATAGCATCATCATCAGGAGGACAAGTTGGTCCACAGCTACCTCCATGGGGCTGAGCCAACCTTGGAGCTTGGGCCGGAACAAGACCAGGCTGAGTAAGAGCTGGCTGGAACCAAACTTTGATAGCTTCACTAGGTCATCCACCATGTGCTCAACAACGGATGCAGCACCATCAGTGTCTTCGGCAACAAAGGCATCATCATCAGGGGGGCAGGTAGGCCACAGCTCCACCATGGGGCTGAAGGAGCTTGGGAGCAGGAGCAGGGACAAGGTCTTCTTCCTCCTCAAGTTCTTCTTCCTCCACAGCTTCAAGATTGTCCTCTTCCACAGCATCATCATCAGGGGGGCAGTGGACCACAGCTCCACCATGGGGCTGAGAGCTTGGGAGCAGGAGCAGGGACAAGGTCTTCTTCCTCCTCAAGCTCTTCAATGGCATCAAGTTCTTCCAAAGCATCATCATCAGGGGGCAGGTAGGTCCACAGCTGCCACCATGGGGCTGGAGGAGCTTGGGGGAGGAGCAGGGACAAGTTCTTCTTCTTCTTCAAGACCTTCTTCATGGCATCAAGTTCTTCCAAGGCATCATCATCGGGAGGGCAGGTAGGTCCGCAGCTGCCACCATGGGGCTGGAGAAGCTTGGGGGCTGGGGCAGGGACAAGGTCTTCTTCTTCTTCAAGTGCTTCCTCCAAAGCATCATCATCAGGGGGGCAGGTAGGTCCGCAGCTGCCACCATGGGGCTGGAGAGCTTGGGGGCAGGAGCAGGGACAAGGTCTTCTTCCTCTTCAAGCTCTTCAATGGCATCAAGTTCTTCCAAAGCATCATCATCAGGGGGGCAGTAGGTCCACAGCTACCACCATGGGGCTGAGCCAACCTGGGAGCTTGGACAGGGGAGAGCAGGGCGGCACCGCGCAACTGGCCGTTGGCGTTGGCAGCGTCAGTGGCGCTGGAAGCAGCAAGAAAGGGAATGAAAGCGAAAGCGAAAAAGATAATCCTCATGGTTGTTTTTTCGAAGTTGTTTCTAGGTTTTGATTTCTCAAAATTGTGACCTCTTCCAAGAAGGGAGGCAAGCCCCTATTTCATCATAGTTTGACTGGACGATTCACTACACAGTGTAGCTAGCGAAGAGTACGAGTGCTGCTTTCGTACGGAAAGCAAAATCCTGATACGGAGGTGGTACCGAAGTAACATACTGTAAGCCACAAACACCGCGGGAGTTGGAACAGAAAGCAGAGAATTAGAACACGTGAAGGGCTGGTGCATTGGAGAGTTAAAGTTTGATACAAGAAATTTGCCGAATGACCAGGATGACCATCCATTGGCAACTTCAACCATGGGAGTTGAACCGCGGGAGTTGCTGACTTGAACTGCGGGAGTTGGGACGTGGTGTTGCAATGCACTTCATCAACATTTAATTCGTGAAGTAGTGAGCAAGGCACCTTGTTGAGTGGTCTAACCGCGGGACTTGTCAGCAAACCGCGGGAGTTTCAACTTGAAGCGTGGGAGTTGGGATCTTGGTTTGGCAATCGAAGAGGAAAGGAATCCGTTATGTCTCCCTTGGAGTTGTACTATCCCAATGGCAATCGTCATTCCAAGTTTCCGAGACGAAGGGCCTTCTTGGAGACAGATGTTTCGAGGATGATAAAAAGTCTGTCTGAGTTATGCGTGGATCTGATTCTGGACCACCTGAATGGTTGGAGCGTCGATGGAGGTGACATCTTGACTACTTTTTGATCTGCTGACGGCGCCCGAGATCCCTGAAGAGCGATAAAGTAGTCTAGTGGTTCTAACCATCGAACAGATGAAGAAATAGAAAGAGCCACGCAACACTTTGTTTTGATTTGGATGAGGCTGGGGTTCCGCTGGAGTATCCACGGTACCGCTAGGCAACCCGCATCTCTGAGAAAATCGATCTGGAGGTCACTGTTGAGTGACCCAGACATCACCTGGTGACTTCTTTTTGTCTGGGTTTGGAGACTCTTGCGTCTTTCCTGGGGGCTTTCAAGTCGGCACTGCCGTCACCGGTAGCTTGCTACTTTCTGCCGAAAAATAGGTTTGCCATTCAAGGGCTGACGATGTTACGTTGGTTTGAGAAAGCTTCAGATGGGCTCCATCTACGGTTGGTTGGTACACTATCTCACGGACTTTAAATAGTTACAACAACAGGAAACTATAAACGGCGAACTCTATTCTTGTCATTACAATTGTATACCGGCAGTAGAGTGAAACGCATAATAGACATGTGTGGCGAGGAGATCTCTATCCTTCTAACCCCGACATCTTCAATGGAATAGCTTGCTTGTATGCGAGAATAGAAATCTCAATTGCCCTGTTACGGCGTATATTAACCAGGGTTTGTTTCGCTAGACGCTCTCGTCATCGTCGGCTCCAGACTGATGTGAACCTTGGTGACTGCCGCCTGCGCTACCTCTGTCATCTTGCTCTTCCGCATTCTTCAGCGACTTTAAACTTCGAGCAATAGCCCAATCAGCGGCAGCACTTGCTCCAATGTCTGCGAAAGCACAAAGGAAAAAGTCCAGAGTGAGCAAATACCATCATAGTAGTCTAGTACATGAATTGTTCCTCGCCCAGACAACTACTTACCCGTTGCGCCTTCCGATTTGCTTTGTTGTGCGATTTGCATCCAAATCTCAGCTTGAGCCAATGCATCTTCCTCCTCTTTCAGCTGCTTCTTTCGTTGTGTTGTGGATTCCTCGGAGTCGGGACCAGCACCATACGATCTCTTCGCTGGGCTGTAATCCACTGATGACGTTGCTGAGGCTTGCTTGTCTGCCTGGTTGAATCTACCTGCGGCCTCTACCACGGCAGCCCAATTCCCTTGGTCAATCATTTCATCAAGCTCTCGCGCGCGGTCTGCATTGACTCCTCCTATCCGCAGACTGCGTGTGGCACCGCTGGAGGAACCAGCTCCGAGCCTTGCACTGGCTGCCCGCCTTTCGACTTCTGCTGTGGATGCAGAAGCCAGGCTTGTGTCACTCATCAAAGCTGCCGCCTCTCCGACAGCTTCCCAATCGCCGGCTTCAATTGCTTGCTCCAGTGCCGTTCGATTCCTTGGCGGTGATCCGGTCAAGGCGTCCGAGGATGGGTCGGAGGAAGAAGACTGTGCTTCTCGACTTGATGATGCATCTTGGCCAGCCGGGGAAGATGCTGGTGCAGGGGCTGGAGGAGCGGCACCTGGGATCCCCCCTCTCTGAACTGTGCGGCGAGCCTCTTGTTTGGCTGCTTTGTGGCCAGCTGTGCGTGCCTTTTGCGCCACTGCTCTTTCTTGCATGGTCCTCAATGTTTCCACCAACTCTTCTTCGCGGCCTTTGAATTGCAGCATCATTTCATTAACGTTGTCAAGCTCTTCTGGTACAACACGACGTACCAAGGCTTCCACTTCTTGCCGAATTTCGTCTCGTTTCTGTGCTTTCGATGCACTTTCGCTGACACTCGTTGAGACACTGGGAGTAAATGTGCCCGATCCTGTCCCAGATCGAGTGCCTTCGGAGCCTATTGACGATGACCTTGCGGAAGATGCGGTCCCTGAACGGATGGAGCCTTCTTGTGCTTCAAACTTGGCCGCCGCCAAAACTACACCTTCCCAATCTCCAGCGTCGACCAAGTGATCAAGCTCCGCTGCTCTCTGGGCATCGACACTCGATACCGACGTGTTTTGACTTCGACTATTTCGACTTGTTCGGCTCTTGGATGAAGCGGACTGTGAGTCTGAAGCAGCCGCCAAGAGTGCCGCTGTTGCACCCACAGCAGCCCAATCACCAGCCTCAATGGCATTGTCCAAATCGTTTCTCGATACGGCTCCAGCAGGAACGTCGAGCTCTTGAATGCCGGCACTCATTCTAATGAAGAAGAGAGATGCAAGTGTTAGCTGATGTATAGCACCGTCGTCAGAGGAAATACTTCCAACAGGACTACTTACGGTGAAATGTTTCTTCGGTTTTCGACGCGCCTTGCCACCGCACTGGCAGCTCCAATTGCCGCCAGAGAAGATCCTTGTGGAGAATTTAACATATCCATAGAATCTTCGGCGCTACCCGTGTTGAGACTTGACAAACCAGCGCTAGACGACCAACCCGAGCTACCGGCATTGGAACTCGAGGCAGAATGGCCCTCGTCAAACGAGTTTTGATCCGGTGTCTCTCGTTCAGGACTCACGGGTGGAACTTTGTGAACTTGCTTGATACTGCCGGTCGGTGTGGGTTCCTTAGTAGCAGGAGGGTAGGCAGATGTCTTGCCATAATCACTAGGCGCCGCTCCAAGAGTGGCTGCCACACCTCCTCCAATGGACTGTACTTTTTGTGGCGTCGTTGGCACTTCCACATCGTGTTCATCAGCGGTTGGATGGATCCCATCCGTGGACACGGCATCGTGTGGTTCGTAGGCGCCATACGGTTCCTTTTCTTCATTGTTTTGTCGCATGGCCAAATACAAGGCAATCGGGAATATCGTGAGTACCAGGGCCGCAAGAACAATTCCAGCCGTGGCTCCTCCCGACAATCCTTCGTCCACCACTTCGGCATCGGATGGTGACGGCCCCACAACTTGGATTGGAACATTGGGGTCCATGCCGGTCAATATTTTCACAATCGAGTCGGAAGGTAGATTGGCCTGCAGTTCTCCTCTCAAAATGGCATTGAGCAGCGCCGTTTCAAAATCCGCCACTTCATCCGGGTTCAATTCGACAGTATCAATCATGGTGATTTCATGCGCTACATTCTCACATCGATCATTGTCACCTGCCAATCCAGCCGTGCAATCTGATAACGAGAATAAACGTTAGACAACCAAGAACTGGACTTGAAATGGCTATCATATTCAGTGCGATCGATACTTACTAGTGACTTCATAGGTCGCAACTTCTGTTGGAAGCGAGAGTCTGACTTGTAGATTGCGCCGCCTTTCTGGCACAAAGACACTCGTCACAACAGTGGATGCGAGTTGATCCATGGCATTGATGAGATCGGGTTCGTAGACCGTCGAGTTGACATTGGTAATGGATGCATTGGCTACGGCAATGGTGTAGACGACATTGGCGATTTGTGTATAGACTGGAACAGGAGTCACCGGAGTAGTGGGTGATGCGGAAGAAGGTGGTGAAGTGGGAGGATTGGATGTGGGTGTAACAATGGGAGAACTTGTGGGTGAAACAATGGGCGCCAATGAGGTTGGAATCTGCGTCGTCAGCATCATGGTAGGCACATCCGTCGGTGCTTCCGTGGTTGGAGATGTCGTCGGTGTCACGACGGGAGCAGCCGTGGTGGGCGCCATGGTGGGCGTTCTGGAAGGACTAACCGTCGGACTATTGGAAGGACTGTTGGTCGGCAGTGCCGATGGCGCAGTAGAAGGCGTGCCGGTTGTCGGCATCTTGGTCGGTGCATCGGTGGGTGGATTTGTGGGCGAGTCACTGGGAGGTTCACTGCTAATGACTTGTACAATGGCTTGGTCCGTCAAGAAGCACGTGGCAAAGAGTCGTGTCTTTTCTTGGGAAGTACTCCCTTCTTCGTTACCCACAATGGAAATGTGTGCATCGATTCCCAAACAGCAATTGACATCTCTCGAGTCTCCTCCAAATCGTTCATCTCTACACAAGCACGTGAGAGTGACAAAGGTTGCTTGCATGACGAGTGGCATGGATTGGTAGTCTTCAATATTGTCGAGTTGTCCACTGGGTGCCTGCAGTTGTGCGAATTCCACAAATTCATCGGCCTGTAGCTTTCCGTCATTGTTTCCCATGGCATCGGCTTGTAACAAATGATCATGACATGTTTCCGTGTCGACGAATCCGTCCACTATAATGACATCACTGGTCTGTTGGTTTCCCGGATTGAAAGCACCTTGTCCTGCCACTTGTGTCATGAGCAATGCTAGTAGTGCCAGTAGCATTGTTGTGTGTGATGTAGATTGGTGGGTCATGTTGAATGAATGAAAAGGGAAGAAGAACCTATAGAAGAACAAGACAAGGCAAGTTGAGAATGATCATGGTGTAGATACATGGAGACTGTGGACAGTGTGTGTCGGGTGGAGCTTTTGCACAGCGAGAAAGGCACTGAGGGGGTTGTGCTAGGCTGAGAGAGTGATGGGTTCCGAGTGGGATGGGGATCAGAATGGAATCGGCATCTCGTCCATTGCCACATTCCTGTCTGCTGCTGCCACGTCGTCTGTTTGCCACGAAGACTGCAACAAAAGTAGATTGTAATTGATATCATTGATGAGCAATGAATGCCTGTCTGATTCCTCTTTTGATGGCGGCGCATTGGTATTCTTTCCACCTTTCTCACTGCAACTCTTGCTAGTTGCCGCATTCTCAGCTTCTGCCTCGCCCTTGCCAGTCAACACTCCCCACAAGCCCCTCTCTCCCTGCCTGCCATTTCCCTCCATATCACACAGTAGCTACAAAGAAAGAACCTACCAAGAAGCCAAGTTGGATCGCTCAAAATGCGTGTTTCTTTTCAATCTTTCCTCTGCTGGTTGGTTGATTGGTTATCGATCGTGCAGTCTAGTCAAACTTGAGCGGATTGGTGAATTTTTGAGGAGGTCTGCTTGCCTGATTGCCACTTTCGGATTGTTGTTGTGCCAACTCCCTCCTCCTCCTGCAACAACAGTAGCAACGACGACAAGAGCCCCACTTGCAGATTGTTCCGACTCGACTCGGGAAACTTCTCTGCCAGAACAACAACAACAACAAGAAAGAAAGCTCCTGAGATAAAGCACTCCGTCTGTCCAGTTGTCTGACTACAGTACAGCAGTATCGTTCCAACCACTACTACCCCAGAAAACCGGAAACACAGTTCAAAACAATTTTGCCTGCCGTCGATGCGATCGGATCTGTTTCATCCAACACACAACGTCGTCTTTCCTTTCTTTCTTTCCTTCACTCGAAAACCAATGAATGATGGGGAGTCGAGTGAATCGATCTTTGTGTATACCGTACCGCACCTTGAGCAGTTAACTGTTTACGCGGGGCAGCATATAAAAATGAGGGGAGTGATCATTAACACTTATACCAATATGGAGATGATATAAACTCCTAAATACCTCGGACGGAAACGAAAAAAACAGCGATGTACTTAGGCAGCGCGAAATTTCTGGAACTTAGAAGCATATCGAGTCATGTAATGAAAGGGACTCAACTCTGTTGTGAATAGGGTTAGGCACAAAATAGCTTCACAAAGTAGATGTAGGGTTAGGGACAAAATAGCTACATGTTACTGTTGTTGCTTTGGGGTGTCCCCTTGTTGATGCGTCTAAATGAGCTTGGAGGGATATCTATTGTTAACTAAACTGTCAAAGATACCCTTGGTGTCAAGACAGGCAGTGCAAACTATGAGGTGGATGGTGGCAGCAAGGGTCTCTTGGGAGGATGTTGTCCTCACAAGTAAGTTGGTGGCTCATCATGGAACTGGCTAGCTCTCATTTTGATCCTTCAACTTTAGCTAAAGACCTTTGGAAACGAATGGCAGGTTCTTGAAACTTGCCGAGCTCTTCAAGAGGACCGGTCGTTTTCACAATCACCGCCCTGTGGAGTGCACAATGCCCAGAACCAGAGAGAAAGCATGTGGCCCTGGTGAAGCCAGTGACATGGAAAAAGCTGCAGAGAGGCCTGCGAGCGTGCGAACAATTGGGTGACTTGAAGGACCACATTGTCGGTGATCACTGCATGTATGGCAAGGCTACTGGAAACTTCGAGCTTGCTTGCACTGGGGGCGGGGGGCTTTGAAGCAATGAATGAAGATCAAGCAATAGCATGCTCACGTATTAGCTAAGATTTCTCTGTTTCCATTTCCCGTTTGCCTATGAATTTCTGCTTGAATCATGGAATCACCAGCCAAAAAGTCAAAATGATGCCACACTAGCTAGCTACTAGCTAGCTAGCTAGCTAGCTAGCTACCGGTACCGGTAGATGTATGGCTCAAACCAAACGAACTGGTCCGTGTCTTTGCCTCTCGTTTGTTAGTCTAGCGTACGGTAGCACCTGAAGGGAGAGAATGCCTCTTGGACAAAAGCAGCGCTGCAAGCTTAACCGGTATAGGTCAGGTCATGAATCGAATCGAATCAAATCTTCGGTGTACTGTTTGTCATATGTATCTTCCGCCTGTGTCTACGCACCTATGGACCGGTACAGACACCTAAAAGTCTACGGATGCACCTTAAAATTCCTCCAGTTTCTTTGGGCTCCCTGCTAGACAACATACATTGTGCTTGAAAGGTAGGTGAGGTAAATTACGATTTTAAAAGTAAATGACATCCTTAACCGTAACGTTACCCTACTACCCATCCCATCGCATCGACTCGACTCCACAGAATTCTAAAAACTGAGCGGCCGTCACTCGCGATCCCTTTAGTCTCAGTCACTCACCTGCTACGCTCGTGGAATTCCGCCGGACGATCCGGCAATTGGGATTTGTGACGTCAGTTTCACGACTGAATAGAACTGTCGTCAAACGTGCTTTAAATATGATTAGGCGACAGTTTAGGCGACCGTTGAAAAATAGGCAACGGTTTAGGCAACAGCTAGGATTTAAGCAACCGTTACTAGCATTTAACGGGTTGTTTCTCGAAGCATTAGGCAACAGTTTAGGCAATTGCCTATAAATAGGCAACTATTTAGGCAATTGCCTAGATTTAGGCAACTGACGGTTGCCTAATTCTTCAAGCAACCTTTCAGTCGTGATTCATAACTAGCTAATTGCCGGATCGTCCCGGATCCGGTGATTTCCTCCAGTTTTCATTCCGCGATTTCTTTGGGGCAATTCGGGCAGTGAGGGGTGTCTTGGTGTCACACGATTTTTAGCTAGACTAGTCTAGATAGAGGTGTAGAATGTAGAAAGTTATGATTGCGAGGGGTCGGCTATTCGCTACACGGAAACCAGAGAGAAGTTCCGTGTAGCGAATGGGCCGATAATATCTGTTTTTAATCGAAACATATGCGAATTTTCACCGAAGCTCTAGTATTTACTTTAACAATTCGGAAATGATCATAAAAAGGTCATATTTTGAATTTTTCTTGTTTTGCTCGTAAGTCGGATCCATCAGAGTACAGTATGACGTATTATAAGAGTTAGGTTTGGGGCGTGGTGTGGGCAATTCGATCCGATCACTGACAAACTGACAAATATACATGCCGGCATCCTTCTAATAACTTAGGCTTCTTTGGTCCAGCAAAACAAAATGCAGCTTTCTTTAGAAGACAATGGGAGACTCTTACAGACCCTGACGTCAGAGCCATTTGAGTACTGAGGAGCAACTTTTTACAAAACTACGAACAAATGCGACAGAGCTTGCGCCTCGAAGGAACACTACTAGAAGGGGGTCGAATGACACTTACCAAGCTCCTTTTTTCTATTGGATAAGTAGCATTCTGGAGAGTCCACTACTGTAGTCTTTGCTCCCAACCGTGCGGACGAGCCTTTGTAAGAGGCTATGTCAAAGGCAATAGGACGAGGCAATAGGTATCAACGAAAGTCATAGTCACTCCTTTCTTGGGTGTCTCCCAGCTTCCACATCTGGGTATCCAATTGTATCCATCTACAGTCCTTGATTCTTTGTAGCACTAGCTAGACGCTCTCGCACTTTGGCGCACAGCCTATCGAGTTCGGTTCAGGTGTTCAGGCGAGGGAAAAGCTGCTGTCGCACTCGAGCGCACAGCCACTGTCTCGCTTGTTTCCTACACGAACGGGTATACTGCTCTAGAACTGTTGGGACACAAGTAACACAAGACGTGACACAAGGACAAAAGTGCATCATTAGCCATCAACCGAAACTGTCGCTTGCAGCTCCAGTGTATTAGGCTTCCGCATATTTGCTGATGGATAGCTATTAGCTCGAAACTCAGGGAAGAAGGAAGAAGACTTTTCTCACAATTCTCAATTGCGAAAAACGGTAGGTGCCTCTCGAGGTCCGCTTCGTCCCGGTGGCAAGGAAATGACCGCACTAACAACATTGTTGTTGTGTCTGTTGTGTTTTGATGTGATGCAATCAGCCCGATATTGAGACCGTGAGAAACGCTACTTTTTCTTCCATACCCCAAGCATGTCTACTGACCTACTTCCTCAAGTTGGATCTACCATTACCATCCCAAGCGGTGGGCCCGAAGAAGAAGGTAGCAACTACGGCGATAAAAGCACTTGCTCTGGTTCCATGATGAGCAACTCTGCGGACCCTTCCCCCCCTCCTTCCGATGCATCATCATGCTCATGCCCTCAAGTCAGGTTGACCAGGACCGTCTTGTTGCGGACCGTGTTTGTTCTGAGCCTGGCGACGGCCGCCGCCATGTGCTCCTCGACGTCCTACACGGTGATTTCTCGATTGGAGACCGACGTTGGTCGTGAGACCTACGAGTCGGTCGCCGCGAGTGCCGTCCAAGGTGCTCAGGCCATTGCCCATCGCAAGATCGAGGGTGGCCTGTTCATGGCGAGCATCATGAGTTTTGCCTTTCCCGATGCCCATCAGTGGCCCTTTGTGGAACTCTACGGATACACCGAATTGAATAAGCAGTTGGCGGGAATGTCCTTGTCGAATGAACACGGATTGGCGCCTTTGGTAGATCCCGACAAGGTCAATGTCAGTGCCTTTGAAGACTTCATGGATAACATGTATCGTACCAAGGACTTTGAAGATCATGTGGGCTACTCTGACTTTGGTTTCGGAATCTGGAAGAAGGAAGTTGGAGTGAACACTACTCAATACAAGGATGGGCGTCTTCATGACACGGAACCCAATGATTACAATGGCACTTCCAACCATACCGCTCTGGTGCCATTGATTGAAGTGGGACACAAGAGATCCAAGCATTTGCTCGTCAACCTGCGCGCAGAACCATTCCGCAGAGCGGCTGTGGACTCAATGTTGGATTGTGCCAACTATCACGAAGACAAGATGCCAACGATGTTGGGCAACAATACGGACGAGAAGAACTCATCGCGTCCTTGCCTTGTTGTCTCGGACATGTTTGAACTCTTGCATGTCAAAGGACCAGCAGGATTGATCTACACTCCAGTCTATCCGGCACATGATCCCAATACCCTCGTAGGGATCACGTCCACTGTCATTCTGTGGGAGGATGTCCTGAAGAACATTGTTCCTGACTACGTGGATGGGCTGATCTGTGTCATTTCCACAGATACTCAGACATACTCCTTTGATATACAGCATGGACAACCAGTTTTGCTGGGTGATGGCGACTTGCATGAGATTGCCTTTGACCACTTGGCACGTTCCGTCGTCCTGGATGACTATATGACCGAGTCCGAAGCGTCCGTCAAGTATGTGCTGACCGTTTACCCCACAACTAAAATGATGAGTGCCTTCCGGACCAGCAGTCCTTGGGTTGTGGCCTTGGGATTTGTCCTAACGATTGCCATCTGCACTGGTATCTTCCTGACATATGACTGGCTGATGAGGTACGAGGTCTCTTATCGACAGAACATCATGGAGATCAAACGGCAGTACATGCGATTTGTGTCGCACGAAATACGCACACCACTCAACACAGTTGTCATGGGTCTGGAACTCATTGAAGATGAGCTTCGAGGAGGAAAGAAGCCCTCTTCGCCCCAACACAACCTTTTCAGCTGTGACCAAGCTTCCTCGTCTGCCGACGCAAAAAAAAAGGAGGATACCTTCTTGCATGAGGTGTGCGTGGATGTTCAAGAGAATGCGAACACAGCTGTTCAGATGCTCAATGACATACTTGACTATGACAAGGTTGAATCCTCTACGTTGAAGCTGGAGCTCGACAATGTGCCCATTTGGACTTTGATCAGCAAGACGATTCAGCAATTTCAGGTTCAAGCCTTGGGGTCTCACGTTGCATTAAGGCTGAAACAAGATGATTCAAGAGGGAGACCAAAGAGCCTTAACGGCGAAGCTCACCTTGGAAGGCCTCGATCGGGTTCACTACGCGACTTTGAAAGTGGAGTTCATTGTGCTGCCGAGTTGGAGGCCACGACCGTCATTGGCGACGGGACAAAGTTGGGACAAGTATTCAGAAACATCATCTCCAATGCCCTTAAGGTAAGCACATTCAAGCGAGAGTTCGAGATGTGTTATCTGACTAACTAACTGCATACTGACCCTTCATCAACGCTTCTGCCGATGCAGTTCACACCACCGGATGGTACAATCAACGTCAGGGCTATCCATGTGCGCGACGGCCTCCCCTCCTACCAGCTTCCGTCCTCATACAATCCAACAGATTATGAATCCCAACAGCCTAGACGTGCCGGATCCATCCGGATCCAGTTCAAGGACAGTGGTGTGGGCATGACCAGGGAGCAACTGGGCAAGCTCTTCAACGAAGGCATTCAGTTCGATGTGAATCGATTGCAAAATGGTGGTGGCAGTGGCTTAGGCCTCGTCATTTCAAAGGGTATCGTCGAGCAGCACGGTGGAACTGTTTCAGTCACCTCAGGTGGAATTGGGCACGGCACCACATTCACGGTTGAACTTCCGCTCTTTCATCTTCCTTCTGAGCCAAGCAAAACGATGGATGACAGCACGGCTGCATCTATCGTGTCTGTCGAGGAGCCGCCTGAACCCACTGAACGTCGAGTGCTTGTCGTCGACGATGTCATGTCCAATCGAAAGATGTTAGTGCGCCTACTCGAGCGAGCTGGTCATACTTGTGACACTGCCACCAATGGAGAAGCAGCCATTCGAGCGGTTGAGGGCGATATTGGGGCCGTCATAGAGGACCGCAACCACGTTCCCTTTGATTGCATTCTCATGGAGTAAGTCTCGCCATTCTCGCCATTCTCGCCTAGTCGGATGATGCGGTATCTTCGTCACTTACCTTTGCATCTCATCTTCTTCCTCCACTCTGCTTGCTCAGCTATGAGATGCCTATCATGAATGGTCCTGATGCTACGGAGAGAATCCGAGATCTTGGCTTCGGAGGTCTTATCTTGGGCGTTACGGGTAACGTTTTGGCAGAAGACACCGACCACTTCCTCTCCAAAGGAGCTGATGAGATCATCGCCAAACCAGTCAAAATTGCAAAGTTGCAAGAATCTTGGGAAAGGCTCACACCCTCTCGAAAACGAAAATGGTCAGAATCCAAGGACGGAAACGTGGACTCGCAACAGCAGAGACTATTTGATGTCTAAACAGTCAACTGCCTTGCTGGCCAATTACAAAACACACAAGACATTGCCAAGGCAGCATTTCAACCAAAACCAATCAATCTTGCCAGCCAGTACCGTGTTGCATCTCCTCCATCCTGCAATCCGCTTCGCAACCGGTACCGGCGCAGCCGCTGCATCAAAGCATCGCCACATCACTTCCCAAGCGTCCTCTCTCCAATTCCTATGATGTGGCTGGAATGATGAATCACTCTGTACCATATATGACAGAGAATGCATAGTTACACACGCCACCAGCTAGCTAGGGCTTCTTAGCTTGCCATTAGAGTCGAGTCTACTACGATAAGTGCTACATTTTTAATTTAAAAGATTTACTTTTAAAAATTTTACGATGCTGAAACTAGAATATGAATTTACTACCGTGCAACTAAAGGATTGAATGAATCTATGGCTCCCGGATCTCCGTAGAAGCAGCATTTTTCTGGTACTCAGAAATCTGCTACGCGCTCCTCGAGTAGGCCTGGTACACATGACGTCACTGTTCTCTCGCCGAAAAAGAAAACAACGGCCACCCATTCAGTTCAACACACTTCGAAATAAAGCATCAACCATGCCATGACAGTAAAGATGGCAACAGAGCTCTATTATCATGTTACCCCAGAGGTGCAGAGGACCTGGGTATCTCTTCTATACCCACTTAGGATCAATCGCCCTGAAAAACATTCAAGGTGTTAGCAGTGAAATGAAGAGAAAACAGCAGTACAAGCAGCAGAATGAGGATGGCGACACTCACCAAAAACGAGGATATTGTGCTGTTGTGGTTGATACCTTGGCACCTTCCCATAAGAGATTGGATGAATAATTCCTTTTGGTATCAGCAGAGGGATCTCTTAGGTCTGTGGCAACAGGAAGGGTGCCTCTGATTGCTTTTCAAAGCCCTTTAGAGCCACTTCAAGTTGAGCCTTCCGCTCTGCTTCTGTGAAATCGGCACAGTTTTCTTTGATACGGGCATACTCGAGGTCCTTGAGATGCTTCCTCCTGTCGGAGTAATTAAGGGCTGTCATCGCAGCTCTTGATTGCTCTCCAAGTCGGAAGACAAGTTCGACAAGAAGGTCCTCTGCATTTTCCTTTTTCCTCAGAGAAGAATACCCAATCCGCCCACGAACAGCCATGGTCTTGTGCACACCCGTGTTCCTCTGCCTCTGGTTCTCCTTCTTGTTGGTCCCGGCATTGTTGACTACATTCTGTTTGAGAGTGTGGACTCTTTTATGCTTGAAGTGTTCCTGTCGCATTGACACTTCCAGCTCTTGAATGCGACCTTTGAAGTCGGCTGACTTGGCTTCCTCTGTTAGAGTTTTGTACTGCAACTTGGCACTGTCCAGAAGCTTTTCGATCTTGTCAGTGGAACCCAGTTCTCGAATAGTACCGATGGAATGCACTCTTGCTGAACGGACAATAGCATATGCACTCCTGAGCTGTTCAGCTCTGTCAGTATTGGAAACGTTCTTTGCTTCCTTTACTCCTGCTTCAACGAACTGGGTATGGAAAGGAAGAGGTAGATAAGACGTTAGTAGATACTGCTTGAAAGCATTTCCCATGTTCTCCTGATCTCTGTAGTTCAATCCAGACAGTCGGAGTTCAGCTGCATGGGTTGCGAGTGGTGGGTATGTAGGTAGGACGTTGGTGTTGTTGGCCATTGTGACTTGTTGCTTCAAGAAAGAAAAGAATGGTTGGAGCTGGTCAGGTCGCTTGTGGACTGGAGAGGCGAAGGAAGCAACAGGAAATGACGCAATGTCTCTGCCAGGATGACACTTGCAATAATGTTGGCGAAAGGTTCCTCTGACAGTAATCCTGCTGGTAGCTGTTATTTGCTAGTAAAACTGCAGCTTATGGGGAGTATATTTGGTTTTGGATTAAGCTGAAAGCAAAAGTGAGGATTTTCTGGTGGTGCATACAATTCTTGTGATTGATTTGGATATAAGGACCCCCGCAACACTTTAGACCTAAAACTCCCTGGTTCCTTGCATGATAATTTATGCGAACCGGACTAGATGATTAATACACGAGTCAATAGTAAAGAGGTTCAGGTATGTTTCCTCAACACACTCCTGCACGGTGCCCTAAGTGGCTACCGTGGAACGAAAAATAAATTAGCAATCAAACAAGGGGGATGCCCCATGATGAAAGCCTGTGCTCGTGAAAGAGCTTGCCCTGAAGGGGCTTCGTGAAAAAATCTCCACGCATTCCAAGGTTGGCAGTACACAACTCTAAGGTTGCTTTTCCAATTTGGTCATGAATAAAAAAGAAACGAATGTTGATAGCCCGAGTTCTTTTGCCCGAACTGCCTTTGCCATTCTCTGCAAAATGATCGTGCTTTTGTTGTCCTGCATGAGGATGTTGTCTTTCACAACATCCCCTGCTCTTCAAGGAACAATTTGCCCACAACATGGGCACATGACATCGTCGGCTCCAATCAATTCCGCTTCCGTGCTGCTCCTCGAATTCAATTTCTGTTTCGCAGACACAGACAGCACCGCACCACTTCCAAAGGACATGACTCCTCTTGTATGGGAACGGTAATCAGGATGGATGCAAATGATGCGTCCACCCACCAAGTGATGATGCTATGTCATCAATGTGTAGAATCAACTTGTCCTGCGCCGTCTGATCCAAAAATTGAGGCCTTGAACCAACTGTCCCAATCATCAGATGATGGGCTTCTGACACGAGTGCATAACACAGTAGTGAGAGTCTGCACATCTGGTCGAGCACGCTTGCACAGGAACAACAGCTTGGCTGCAAAGGTATGATAGGTTTCTCTGTTCTTGTCATTCAGGATGGTGCCATCACCAGAGCTGAATAGGTCAGCAGGAGTGCACTTGGTACCTTCTTCATTGCCCAAAGTCCACTGGAACTCTGAGATCATTTTCTTGACATAATCTATCATGTCAATCACAACCTTTCCTGGGTTGGAAAAATCCATGTGTATCATTTACCGCTGGAGGATAAGGTCGGATCCATGCTTACACCGTCAGGAAGGACCTCCCTCAGCGAGCTGATCATGGCCGTAGCCGGAGTGATAGCTTTCTTCGGATGATGTCTCATCATGCCTCCACTCTTCTGCATAAAGTGGGATGCCTCCAAGGAAATCGGTAGCGAATGCTCCCCAGTCAATGGAAGCTTCCGGCTCACTGTCGGTGGTTGAATCATCTCTGCCCATCAAGGGCGGGACTCCATCGACTTGATGGTGCTGAAAATGGAACTGTAGTGACCCTGCCGCGCTGGCCTGGGAGGCTTGGCTTGACATGGGGAACTGTTGAAAGTTCGACTGGCTCGTAGGAGGTGGAGGGACTCCACTGAATCCACTCCTGCTCGAAGAGTCTCCAGCTGGAGCTGGAGCTGGCGCCGTCACCACTGTGGTGGGCACTCCTTGGAGTAGCTGCATCTGGTGTTGGTGGTACTGTGGCATGAAGGACTTCTTCATGCCATTGAACTTGTTGATGGCCCATTCAGGCTTGGGGATCTTCGACTTCACCTTGCACTGCGGAAGTTTGTGATCTGGGCTTCCACAACAGTAGCAGGCTTCCCCTGGCTGCGGGACTGCTGATAGAAGACAGCAGCTGGGAGCCCTTCCTTCATCTTCTTGGGATCAAAAGGAGGTGGCTTGGGATTGGAATATGGCTTCCGGTCCTTGGCCTTCCGTTGGTCCAACCATTCCTTGCTGGGCTTGAATCTGTCATTGGACAGCGTCTCTCTAAGATGATCAAGGGTATCAGGGAACTGGATGGTACCGTTCATGGCATAGGCTGCCTCAACGGTCTTCTGGTAATCTCCATATCTTCCCTCTTGTAGTCCATGGTAGGCCACGGTTGCCTTCAACCTTGCTTGTCCCGCAAGTAACACCTTGTCTTTGGCGTCTTGTCCAGATGCGGCCTGGTAGTCGTCTGAGTTCAGAGTTCTTACATCAATGAACGCCGTGCCGACCAGATCATAGACTTGATCAACGTCGCTGTCGACCTTCCTCAAGTAGTAGTCAAGTCTGTCATGATACTCTTGCTTCGGGAACAGACCACGTTGGATGGTCTTGATGTATTGTAGTAATGGGAACTCTTTTGTAGAGCCTTGCATCACTATAAACGGATCCTCTGGAGCATCACAATGGGGTCGAGCTTGACTGCATCCTCATAGTCTGGGAGGCCTCTCAACTTGGACTTCATTGCTTCGGTACAGTATGTCACCTGTATGGTGGTTGCACCAGTCTTGAGAATGTTCTCATAGGATCGAGTCGACTTGTCGTAGATGGATGACTTTGCCTTGTACTCACTGAGTTCCAAAGCATCGTACTCTTGCACTTTGGGATCAGCAAGTGATGCCTGGAGTGTCGGCTTGTCCGGCTTGGATGGCGCCTGACTCTTCATGGTCTCAATGGCCAATGAAGCCAGAGGCACATCATTCCACTCAGGCTTGATCCTTAGGTCCTGGACAATGTGTGTCAGGGTCTCCTCAAAAGGATAATACCTGGTGTCAGCCTGTCCATTTGGATGGAAGAGGAACTGACGCTTGGAACTCTTGTTCTGGTTCCTGTAGCTGTTGCCTCTTCCTTGATGGCTTCTTCCTGAGGAATTGAATCCCCTACCCCCCCTAGAAGGGTATCTTCCTCCACCACGACCACCTCTTCCTTGGAATCTCATGGTCTTGCTGGTGTGGTAATGCACTCTTGTGCTTGCTTGTTCCTTGGAACTAGCTTGTGTTTTGGTGTGGATGCTCCTGCAGGAAGGATCTCACGACGGGCACTACTACTCGTGTAGTTGCCTGTAAAAGCTTCTTGTTGGCTGGATAGCCTTCTTTTTGGTCACTCTTGGTGCACCTGTTTGTGGCTGGATAGCCTCTGTTGGTTTCAACAGCTCACGTAGAACGTGGTATCTTCTTTGTGTCCCTTGGTTGGACGTTTCGTGGCTCAGGGTAGTAGCGAACTCCTCTGTAGCCTTTCGTATGGTGCTCTGCTCTTGCAGATGCCTTGTGTATGCTTAGATGAGTGCACTGAGTGAGTTACAGTTGCTGGAATAGCTCTCGTGAGGAATTTTAGAGCTCCGTGTCGTTACCGGGATTTTTGTCCTTCACTTCACAATAGCACTTGTTGACTCGTATCAACCTATCTCGCTCAATTTCTGGAGTTAGAAGCTTTCGAGGGTATCCAGAGTTGCGGCTAGAGGTCCTCTATCGATCGATGTATGGTACCTTTGGCTTGCAACGCCTGTGTCAAGACCTATCTTGATCCCCGTTCAATGGCTTCTGCTCGTCGTGATGTGATGGATCAAAATCTCGCGCGATGACACGATGACGTAATCCGCTTCAACTCGATGAATAACAGCCGGATTTCCTTGCTTCCAGCACGTAACTGGTGTGTCTTCGTGTGCTCTTCAACGTGCACTGCTTGTACTGCGATAACTCCGGCCGGAAGTTACTGCGTACCTTGTAGTGGCCTGTCGACAATGGGAATAATCTTTCCCGCGCACGCACCTCTTTCCTGTTAGAGGCTTTTCGATGCTCTGATAGTGTGGCTAGAGGCTGATTCTTAGCACCTCTTCTCTGTTGCAGGTGTTAACTCAATACACTTTGACTCAATACACTTTGACTTGGTATCAACTTGACTTACTGTCTCGAGACGGTTGACTCTTCCAACTCGAGAAGGGCTTTTGCTTTTCAGTGTTGTTTGCTAGTAATACTGCAGCTTTTTGGGGAGTAATTTGGTTTTAGATTAAGCTGAAAAGCAAAAGTGAGGATTTTCTGGTGGTGCATAGCAATTCTTGTGATTGAATTGGATATAAGGACCCCCGTAGCACTTTAGACCTAAAACTCCCTTGGTTCCTTGCATGATGAATTTACATGCGAACCGGACTAGATGATTAATACACGAGTCAATAGTAAAGAGGTGTCAGGTATGTTTCCTCCAACATTGAGCTTCCCAAAACAGTGGAGCATGTCCTTGAGATTGGCAAGGAGACTGGTACAACCTTCTGGCATGATGCCATTAAGAAAGAGATGGCAGCCGTCGGCAATTCTTTTGAGATCTTGGAAGAGGATGCCCCTGATCCAGTTGGCCATACTCACATCCGTTGCCATATGGTTTTTGACGTGAAAAGTGACTTCACCAGAAAGGCACGCTTGGTCGCTGGAGGACACATGGCTGACCCCCCTTCTTCCATCACTTATGCCAGTGTTGTCAGTCGTGAGAGTGTACGACTGGCCTTCCTGATTGCAGCATTGAACGATTTGGATATCTTGGCAGCTGATATTGGCAATGCATATTTGAATGCCCCAGTTCGAGAGAACATCTTTATCACATGCGGTAAGGAATTTGGCCCATTTGAGGGACGCAAGGCAAAGGTCGTCAAGGCCCTGTATGGCCTCAAATCAAGTGGAGCAGCATGGAGGGCCCACTTAGCTGATGTTTTGCGAGACAACTTGGGGTTCACCTCTTGTAAGGCAGACAATGATGTCTGGTTTCGTGCAGCCACCAGGCCTGACGGAAGGGAATACTATGAGTATATATTGGTATACACGGATGACCTCCTTTGCATATCAACTAACCCAAACACCTTACTCTGCTACCTGGATCAGCATTTCCTGCTGAAGCCAGGATCCCTGGGAAAGCCAACTCAGTATCTTGGAGCTTCAGTCAAGGAGTACAATCTCCCTGGCGTTGACAAACCCTGTTGATCAATGGGATCTGAATAGTATGTCAAGGAGGCTGTCAGAAATGTGGAGACATGGCTCGAGCGACGTGGGAGGACGCTCAAGTCGAAAGCAACTTCAGTGTTACCGAGCAATTACACCCCGGAATTGGATGTTTCAAACCTTTGTGATGACGAGTGGACAAATTACTTTCAACAGCAGATTGGAGTGCTACGATGGGCCGTAGAACTCGGGAGAATTGACATCTGCACCGAGGTTTCATCAATCATGGCTTCGTACTGTGCAGCCCCACGAGTTGGGCATCTGGAAGCTGTGTTTCATATCTTGGCATATCTCAAGCAGCACAGTTGTTCTCACCTTGTTTTTGATCCTTCCTATGTGAATCATGTGGAACCAGAGCGACCTGACTGGAGCGATTTCTATGCCGATGCGAAAGAGCTTTTGCCCCCAGACATGCCGAAGCCCCTCGGTAAACCAATCCAAATCACCATGTTTGTGGATTCTGACCATGCTGGGGACAAGGTGACACGTCGTTCGCGTACTGGTGTACTCGTCTTTGCTAACATGTCCCCAATTATCTGGTATAGCAAGAAGCAGGGCTCCATTGAGACTTCTCCTTTGGATCTGATTCGCGGCATGAAGGTTGGAATCGAGATGTGGAAGGCTTGCGTACAAGCTCAGGATGATGGGAGTCCCTCTCGATGGCTCCAGCTCATGTCAAGGCGGACAACATGTCAGTGATCAAGAATTCAAGTATCCCAGAATCTACCTTGAAGAAGAAGAGCAATTCGGTCGCCTACCATTATGTTCGTGAAAGAGTCGCTGCAGGCATGGCAAACATCACATACGAGAATACTGAGAGCAATCTGGCGGATATGCTGACGAAGATCCAGAACGGGCCTGTGAGACAGCGACTGGTGTCGAAAGTCCTCTATTAACAATCTGCAAAAGGCAACATGACCATAGGGTGGGCCGTTTGGTTAACGGCAGGTCTGAGCCTCCAAGGGGCCTTGCCCCAAGGGTACATCCTGTTTCAGACTTCTGAAGTCTGTTTTCCCATTCCAAGTGCAATCTAGCGTGAGATAGATCCCCCTCTAGCTTGAGGGGACCGAAAATGACCTGTGGTAGCGATTTATGACTATCCAGTTACCAGCTTACTAAAATCAACCACAACAACAACCAAGTAGTAACACAACTATAAGCAACCTCTTTTCAACACCATCATCAGCCTTTTTCGCCAACAGTAAAACAATCTAGATTAACAATAATAATGCATTGTAATTGTTGCGACGATAGCAATCCGAGCTGTAAGAACTATTGGTCGTACCAGTACTCACTGTCTCAATGTCCACTATAAGTACAGTGCCCTTTATAGTACTTCAAGTTCACAGTAGTTCACCCATTTATTTGATATGGCACTGTTCTCGCTGCCCAGGAATTCCGCGATGCTTTGCACTTGCGCTACGATCGGAGCCCCTCTGATCTTCCCAGCCACTGTGATGGCTGTGGAGAGCGCTTCAGTGTCACTCACGCCCTTTCCTGTACCAAGGGCGGCCTGGTTCTCCAACGCCACAATGAAGTGCGCGATGAACTCGGTGATCTCGCTTTCAAGGCATTTATCCCATCTGCAGTTCGCGACGAACCCCGCATCCAACTTAGTCGCTCTGCAGCTACGGGTGCTTCGCCTTCCAGCGACTCTCCTGTAGTTCTCACCCCATCTGAGGAACAAGGTGATCTCCTTATCCGTGGCCTCTGGCAATGCGGAACTGACGGCATAATTGATGTTCGTGTCATCAATCTTGATGCTGCTTCTCACTGTCGCAAGGATCCTGACAAGGTCCTTCGCAATGGCGAACGTGACAAGAAACGCAAGTATCTCGATGCCTGTCTTTCCCAATGCCGCCACTTTACTCCGTTTGTTGTCTCCTTGGGGCCGAAGCTGAGGCACTCGCGAAACGTATTTCCGCTTTGCTCGCTGCAAAGTGGGAACGCCCTTACTCAGTGGTGCGTGGCTACGTTAATGCTCGGCTCAGCCTAGCTATTCTTCGGGCCCGCCACCTCTGCATGCGTGGCTCTCGTGTCCCTGCTGGCACAATGAGCTACCGTTGTTCTCTCTGGGATGCCGATGGTGCACTTGCACTCTTCCGCTAATTTTGCTCCCTTCTCCTTCCTGGTTTTCCTCCATGCTGCCCGCCCTTTTTTGCCCTGCTCCCGTCCTCATTGCTCTCCCCGTACGCTCACCACAACAGCCCACACCACCGCAGCCACTGCTTTGCCTAGCCTCGCCCCCCTCGCTCCTTAACGTATCTATTTAGTATTTGTTTCATTGTTCCCATTTATTTGATCAATCAAGCTTTACTCGAGTACTCAGTACTCAGTACTAGTACAAGTAAGTAGTTGGTTTGAAGAGCCAGCTGAAGATGTCTTTGTCGAATGACTTCTTCGGTACTAGTACCTTTTACAGCCCATGTTGCCTGGTGTGAACTCAGTGTCCTCACCGTAAAGAGTACTCAGTAGTCAACCAGTCATTTTGGCAAGTTGGCATCCGGCGGTGCGGAGTTGTATCACGTGTGTACCACTCTCCAGGATCCAGGATCCAATAGATCGTTCGCGATAGTCCAGCTACAACAAGTACAGTGTCCGTACCGTACTGTATCGCAGCTGCTCGTGTGTACCACTCTCCAAGACCAATAGATCTTTCGCGATAGTTCAGCTACTCCAACTAGACTACAACGTACGTACCGAACTGTACATGTATCGCAGCTGCTGGTGTGTACCAGTCTCCAGGATCCAAGGTTGAATCTTTAAAGCTACCAGCTAGAATGTGAGTACCGGATCCCATGTGTACAACGCTCTCGGCTCAGATATCCTGTAGCTAGGGCCTGGGTTACAACCCCGTTTCACGCAACTCAATGACAGTAGTATGGTTTCAAGTTCAGGTCAAGAACTTTCAGGTCAAGTTCAGTGCGGACAAAACAAACTCAATCGAGACAAAAACTTTAAGATCGATCGATCAACAAATAATAATCTTCAGCAGCAATTTTTTAAAGAAAGAGGAGCGAACCATGAAGATAGCCACTTGGTTTCTATCTGCACTGGCAGTGCCTGTTTGGACAGTACCGCTACATGTACATGTACATGCATCTGCCAGTGATGTGATGGCAGCCAATGCGATGTTCCAGAACATGACAATGACCTGGACTACCGAAGAATGGGCTGATCACTTTGCCCGCGTCAGATTCCACGAGTGGAAGGAAGACGAGAAACTGAAACTCGAAGAATTTGAGGACAAGCACATTAAGCTTGCTCTCAATCAGTCCAACCGCAACGTGAAATCGAACGACAAAGACAAAGACAAGGACAAAACAGCCAGTCTGAGTCTCCGCGGTACCGGGACTACTAGTAGTGCTACTAGTAGTGCTACTAATGCTGAAATCCTATTTCGTAAGGGGTAATCTCTCTTCCTTGGGTTGGCGTCGTAGCGTGGTTAGCTTCGACTAGACCTTTGGAAGCCGTGCAATGGCAAACAGTAAAAGAAAATATTATGAGCATTACGATCTATCAAGAAGTCTATCGGGTTTCGTTGTCAAGGTTCGGACTGATAGAAACGGAACGGCGCAAGCCGGCATCGGCTTTTGGTTCAAACATGGCGCCTATTCAACTCGGGTAGGATTGAGACATGAATGCTAAATGGGACCACAGTGCATCCATCGTGGACCACAATGTGGAATATGCTGCGCAGACTATGCGCGCTCTTCCGGTACTCATGAACTCTATCCCTTGACCTCCAACTGGGGTGAGTCACTGGTCTTCTGAGTCATGGGAGAAAACACCTCGTTAGCACTCCCCTCGTTGGTGACCTTTGACTCTTCTTTATTCTCAGTCTGGAGGATCTTCGCAGTATCACCTTTCCAAAACAGTAATGGCTGGAGCTGAGACCAAACTGACGAATAATCCCAGTGTTTACTGAGGATATCGGCAGGGTTGTGCTCGCCTGGAATGTGATGGAAACGGAGAATCTTTGCAGCGATTGATTCCCGTGTCTTGTGGTACGAGAGCGCATTGTTGGAGGAAATATTCCTGATACCTCTTTACTATTGACTCGTGTATTAATCATCTAGTCCGGTTCGCATGCATATTCATGATGCAAGGAACCGAGGGAGTTTTAGGTCTAAAGTGTTACGGGGGTCCTTATATCCAATTCAATCACAAGAATTGCTGTCAGCCACCAGAAAATCCTCACTTTTGCTTTTCAGCTTAATCTAAAACCAAATTACTCCCCAATAAGCTGCAGTATTACTAGCAAACAACACTGAAAAGCAAAAGTCTCATCTCGAGTTCGAAGAGATCAACACCTCGAGATTGATATCAAGTTGATCCAAAGTCAATCAAGACTATCATTGAGTAACTATAGCAACAGAGGAGAGGTGCGCAAATACTGCACACAGCCACACTATAAAGGATACGAAATACCTCTAACAGACGAAACGTCACAAGAACACACGACTGATAATCCCATTGTCGATCCTCCTACAGTTTCCGGCCGGAACTACGGACATCCAAGGGTACCAGTGTAAAGAACACGCGATTACAAGGCGATTTCATACTTGAACGACGGAAATCCGGCTGTTATTGCGAGAGTTACAGTCGATTACGTCATCGTGTCATCGAGCGTGATTTTGATCCGTCTCATCACAATGAGCAGAAGTCATCGAACGGGGATCAAGATAGATCCTGACACAGGCGTTGCAAGCAAGAGGTCCTAAACATCAATCGATAGAGGACATCTAGCCGCATCAGTGCTCTGGCCAAGACGGATGACAGACAGACGAGAGTCTCCAACCTTGAGCTAGCTGGCCAGAGCCGTTGTTCGTTGTCTTGATCCACTCAAAGAGTGTATCAAGCCAACTCTTTGGTTGCTTCTATCAGTGTAATCACCTTGATCATACCCATCTATTCTAGTTGTCTATCGTCTACATCGATTCCCCTGCTTTTGCTGTCTCTTCCCTTGCCCTGGTGAAGTAAAAAAAAAATAACGAAGTTTTATTATTTAGGCTGCACCTCAATAGACCTCCCGCTGAACGGAGCCATATTGAACCGGAGTACCTCAGACGTACAAGGACGCCCACATAGGAACCGGCCTAGTGCAAGCCCCCCACCGGAGAAGCTTATAAACTCCGGAGGGTGCTTTGCAGCTAACTAACTACCCATGGCTGGATTGCCATCTATTTGTACGGTAAGACCCCCTTTGTGCGTAGTTACCTTGTGTCATTGTTCTGCTCGGTGCGTGCATGCTCGTCCCTGAGTGCCTTGTCGATGACGGGCAGCCAATTGGCAAGCCACGCTTTGATGTCGCCTGGGCCCTTTGCCATTTGCTCGTCAAGCAGTCGCTTGAAGATAAAATCCACCAGCTCCGCAGGGATCAGATCCGCTTTCTCGTAAATGAGTTCCACCTCCCGCTGAAGCTGTTCGTGCTTCTTCTTCCACTGGTCTTCCCTGTCTTTGCCATGCCTGGCAGCATTTCGATCCTCCCACAGGTTCCACCACTGCTGGATGAGCAGTGAGGCTAGGTTGGTGACCCAGAGCTGCCCGGTCTTGGTGGGCTCCTGGGAGCCGACCCGATGCAGATATGCATCTTGATGCTTAGCCCAGTGCGTGGACAAACATCCTCTCAGGAAGTTGTCCCAACCAATGAGATTTTGAGTGTCAACAAGGTCCCTATACCTGCCAGGGTAATGCCATGGGTGGAGGAATCGATCTTCAAAGTGGTATTGTAGTCCATCCAGAACAATTTCCAGGAGGAAGGGGTCTGTGGAATCCTTGCGCAACTTTGTGCTGATCGCTCGTTGCATGGTCCCTCGCCACAAATCCACGTCAACATGCGGGCATCGGTAAACATGGGTTTCAGTCTCGTGATCACCGCCACAACGGGGACAGTGGTGATCATACTTGGGGTCATCCCGGTGGACCCGTTTCCCAACTGGCAACAATTGAAATAGGAACTTCACAGCACACTTGTCGGTTTGTGGATCTCATGACGGTTGACAGCTCGACCATGGGCTGTCCAATCAACCAGTGCAGGGGTGTCCTCATCCCAGTCGGATTCAGTTTGACAATGTGGTCGAACAGGGGCTGGTCGTTCCTGAATGCCGCAGGGTTCTGGGAAGCTTGTATGTGCATGTTCCTCTGGGAAGGTGCAGCTGGGCCAAGTTGGCTGGAAATCGGAGTACCTTGAGTGATCCTGTTTGATGTGTCGTTCATGTAACTGCCTGCCAGTTTGTCACGCTCTGCAGTTCAGTTGTGCTTTTAGTTGTAGTGTTTCGATGGCCTTGTGCTTTGTCCTGGTGCGATTTATGTGCTCCATCTTGGGCGCTGTGACGGCAGCCCGGAACGATCCTCGATCTGTTGCAAGACATCCCAGTCGGAGTTCAAGAATCATTGGGGTACCACCCTCGTACTCGAGACAGTTAGCGCACTTATTTGTAACCGATTCATTGTCGCATAATGTACATAATTCTTCATGCTGGTCTGATCGTAGAACTCAGCAATCGTCGAAGAAGGAAGTAGGGGATAGAATGCCTAAGCCTCCGCCCTGTAGGAAGACTCTCTCTCGTGTGTG